GAGCCTTCCCCATGATTGCGATCCACGAAATGGGGGACAATAATAGTGTGTACAGCAAGGCGGAGTCTGATGCACACCATCGCCGAGGATATCAGGCTTGTGATCCATGTCGCAAACGCAAGGTCAAGTGTGATCTAGGAAGTATGGACTCCCATTCCTTTTCATTCTGCGGTCGGACTGACCACAAAAAAAATAGGTGTCGATAATCCTCGCCCCCCACCCTGTGTTCGATGTCGTCGCGAAAGTAAACGATGTGAATTTTCGGCAACGCGTCGAAAGCGCAAGACCTCCGATGCCGAGGAAGATGAATTGGAGGCAGCGGCAATCCTCCATCGCGACAAGCGAATGATGATTGGGGAGGTGGCCAAGAATGAAAGTCAAGGTCCGCCATTTGCGCCTTCCGATACACCTCAGTTCGACCGTGAAGCCGTGCTTGCCCAACAGAGATGGTCCGAGGCACCTTCTGCACCTCATGCACTTCATGCGCCACATGCGCCTCCAGCACCTCCAACTCCGCGTTACATGCCCAGTGTGCCAACAACACGACCTCCTATATATCCTGGCATCGAACGGCCTGCACCACCTAGCTATGGAGGGCCTCCGATGATGAATCGCACAGCAGTAGAGTTGCTGTCACCGGCAATTACAAACACCCACGACGCTCTGCATCTTCTCTCTGAAGCTGCAGGCAGGACAGAGGATCTCAACCGCCAGAGCCTCGAAAATCGGCTTGCTGCACGACAGTCTGTCTCGTCCTTTAACTCGGGGCCTTCACCTCTACCACAAGGTAGTTCACCTCGAAGTTTGGGTGGGTCCTTTGTGCGGACACCTCGATCAGGAATGTCTATGGGCGGGTCAACATACTACCCGGGTGGTGCTTCAGGGCCGGTAGATCCCCAGATCGCGGATCCCGGCCCCCAAAGGGAAAGCCCAGTCAACAACCCTCCCCCAGAGCCGACATATCTGGACGCAATCCGAGCCTGGTCACGATTGCGATTCGTCCGTGCCGGTTGGCTTACAGTGGAGGAAGGCATGGACTATGTGGCGTATTACTATGAACACCTCGCGCCGATGAGCCCTGTTGTAATCCCTGATTTTTCTCATCCTTCTACACACCGCACGTTGCTTACCGATGAGCCAGTGCTGGCGGTTACAATTCTCACTATCGCATCTAGGCATCTGAAACCCAAGGGTGAGGGTGCCAATACGCGGGCATTCTATATCCATGATCGTCTCTGGGCATATCTACGCAGCATGGTAGAACGCCTATTCTGGGGCCAAGAGAAATTTGACGCTGGGACCTCGGGCATTGGCCGATCTCGATCACTTGATTCGAGTTCATCAACGTCAAGCAAAGGTAGTATGGGTGGGCAATTGAGGTCGCTGGGCACTATAGAAGCTATGCTTCTTCTTACAGAGTGGCACCCACGAAACCTACACTTTCCACCGGGCGACGATGAAAATTCTCTTTTGGATACAGATCCCCAGATATACAGTCAGGCCGACCACCAGGACAACGACGGCGAGAATAATAGCAAAGGCTCAGAGGGAAGGGTCGCGTTTCAAAAATGGCTGGAACCGGCCTGGCGATCGGATCGGATGTCATGGATGCTACTGAGTACGGCGCAAGCTCTAGCTTTTGAACTTGGTGTCTTCGACCCGAAGGGAGATGCCAAGGCGGCTAATGAGTCGCTATCCGAGCAAACACGGAAACGTCGACTACGGCGTTTGATTCTTGTGTTTATTACGCATAGTAGTGGACGTCTTGGGATCCCCTCTATGCTCCCATTGCCTCAATGGGGGCAGGATATCACGCCGACATCCGCTGATGCAAATGATGCTGATGCCAATCTTGATCGGATGCAGGATTGCTGGATTAGCATTTCGAAAATTGTCTATCAAGCCAATCATTTGCTGTTTGCATCTAGTGACCAGACGATGGATCTGATCAGGAGTGGGAGATATCGTGAGCAGATCGACCGCTTCCAACCTTATCTACGAGATTTCCAGCAGCAGCTGGACAGTGTGACTCGTAAGTCAATTGGCCGTTGAATATGGATAAGAAAGCTAACAGAAAGAAGTCTCACCAGCAATGCGGAGCGTTTTGCTGATTGAGCTCGAGTACACCCGTAAGTTGACAGCCTGATTCGTTGAAGGATAACAGCTGACATGGAAGCAGGTCTCTATATAAATTCCCTCGCTCTACAAGCGGTCGTTGATCGATGGACTACCATGTCCAACGAATCCACCCAGACTCATAACCAGACCCAGAATGGCCAACCAGGATCGGGGCCGTCTAACAGCAGCAGCAGCTGGTTCCAAACGTTGAACGAGCTCTACCGTGTTAATGAGCATTATATCCAGGAAGTCATTGATTCGTCGCGCAAAATCCTGCAAACAGTATTGGAAGGCCTTGTCCCTGAAGGTCGTCTCAGACACGCACCCATTCGAACGTTTTTCCGAATCTTGTCTGGAATGATCTTCATCTTGAAGGTATGGTCTCTAGTGGAAACCCCGGCAAGCATAATACTAATCTTGACCATAGACTTTCACTCTAGGTGCCAGAGAAGACGACGTGCGAGTCTCTCTAGACCTGCAGGACCGGACGGTAGAGGCACTGCGCAATTATGTTGTGGATGACGTGCACCTCAGCAACACGGTAGCCCGGCTTCTCGAGCTTCTCACTAGCAGCATTCGGACGCGCTTTCTGCGCTTTGCACCGCATGACCGCGGCGCAGACGGAGACGGACATGATCGTACCTCAGTCTCAGGCTCTCGGCCTCATTCACCATCGCGCGATCACTCAACGACTCGTCGTGAGGGCCCGAATACACCCTGGTCCGCTAACCAGGGTCATGATACGACGTCAGGCGGGTCGGGCCTAGGATATGTGGATACTCCTGGCACCGGCCCCCCGATGGTGTCAGGAAATGACCCACTGGCGAACATTCCTGCCCAGCCGATCAACTCATCCAACCTCAACGTATCCTTCATGCCGCCTCCGCCGTCCGTGTACCACAACTACTACGAATCCAGCTCGACATTCCCTGCCAATGATATGGACCGATCATCGCCAAACCATGTCCCCTCATCACAGCCTATGGGGGACAGCCACCACTCTACCTCCGGCGCGCTTCCGGATTGGTTTGCCTTGCCTCTTGATCAATTCTTCAACAGCTCCACCGGAATTGTTGACCAGGGCCTTGGTGGGACGGGACCCATGCTTGGCGAGTTTGACATGCTCGAGGTACTCCTCAATGAGGGGTATGATGGAAACACCAACGGCGAGGGTGAGACTGGGGCCGGGTTATCGTCCCAGTACCTGTGATGAAAATAATGATGATGACGAACAATTTGGTATTCTTTTTAGTCTTACACTTTAATATGGGAGTCTTTTTCGGGATCTAGCTCATGGTCTGTACCTTTTTCTATTATTTTGCTTGAAATTATATACCCCTGAGTTTTCCACCCGGCGTTTCTTATTTCTTGTCTACACCATTTGCCGTAATTTGCATCAACCGATTCTTCTGCCGATGGTGCTATTACTGCAGCCCATCATTGATTATTGCGAATCCCTATACCTCCCCGGCGGTGTCCGTCGGGGGGTTATTCGATTGCGGGGTCTCTAGTTTCATGCAGAAATCAAGTACTTTTATTCTCCTGACTTTCACATGATATTTTAAAAGTTTCTTGGGCCGCGGAGGTTGAAGCTTTCGGGTGGCTTTGGCCTTATAATGGTGATACGAGATGGGTTAAGCTTGAGAACAATGTAAATATAGTAACTATTGCCGTATTTCATTACAGTCAGGTCGAGAGTAATACATTACCATAAGAGTCACCTCATAGACTACAAACAATGCGATTGATGGCATGCACGGCACTCAATTATCCCTGCCGAGTACGTAGGGTCTACTATCTTACTCGCCGATCCCATGAGCAGATCGCCATCTCGACGGCCGCTAGATCCTTCGATGCCTTCGATGCAGATAAGAGCCGCTATTTGGTCTCTCTCCGTGAAGGGTCACATCGGTCTGGCATCGTGGACCCCATGTTGATGTTCTGTATAAGGATTGGTGGAGCATACAATGCAGGGACGGATCCCCGTCGGAGATTATAACTGTTCTTGTTTCATTGAGAGCTAGTATGGCCTTACTAGGCACTAGGTTAAACCCAAAAGGCTCATACGCAGAATGTCTCTCATCCAATGAGGCCAAATTACCCTAATGGAGCGATGTGACCTAGTTTTGGCCTTTCGCGCAGGTGATTGGCTGTCGTGGAGATAACGGGCGATGATCGTCAGGGCTCTAGTCTCCAGCGTCTCTGAACAATCCCTCGATGCAGCGTGACTACAACATAGCCGAAAGACAATCCAAGTAGTCTGGCTATCGGCTTGAGCCAATGGCAACCTATTGTCCTCTTACACAAGGATGGCCAAGTATGGCGATCGACCAGTCTTCACCCAATGATGTATCCAGACGCAGTCTCTCAAGACAACGCCTTGGCCTGGCCGGACTTCTCCGTTCTGCTTAGATAGCTTGTTACAACCAAGCTCCCTGGGCATTTTGCTTGTGTTGCATCTCATACATCTCCCGCCCCTGTGCGCTGGCCGCGCTAATCCTCTTACGTCCATTTGATACCATCTTAGCTTCTTGAGACCCTGGCACTATGTCCCTTTTTGGCTTGACCCCTCAATCGCCTACTTGGCGGACTCCGTCGTGCTCCTGGATGGCCGATGGTATCCGTGACGATCTCGAAGTTTCTCTTCGACTTGACTGGATTCTGCAGGATCGTCATGTTTCCTTCCTACAAGGGTATTATCACCTTGTCCTGGATGTTGCGATAGACAGCCCCGTTGATGCCTTCTACTCGGACGCCGGCGGATTTCATCCATCAGGAAAGCTATAAAGGAGGTCTTGCCTCCATCTCTTTATGAAATCCATCCTCTCCAGCATCGTCTTCGTTCACAATAGATCTATTCATTCTTCTATAGAACTATCACGATGGTTGTCTTCAGCCAAGTTACCGTCGCTCTCACCTGCTTCTCGGCCATTGCTTCAGCTGCGGCTGTGCCGGTCAAGAGCCCCCGCAAGGGCTTCACTGTGAACCAGGTGCAGAAGGCTGTTCCCGGTACCAGGACTGTCAACTTGCCTGGTCTGTACGCCAATGCACTGGTCAAGTATGGTGCTACTGTGCCGGCCACAGTTCACGCTGCTGCCGTGAGCGGTTCCGCCATTACCACGCCCGAGGCCGACGACGTTGAGTATCTCACTCCAGTCACCATTGGCAGCTCTACCTTGAACTTGGACTTCGACACTGGCTCTGCTGACCTGTAAGTTGGTTGATATGGCATGACTAGCAAGGGCAACAACTGACAATTCATATAGCTGGGTCTTCTCTAGCGAGCTTACCTCTTCGCAGCAGTCCGGCCACGACGTCTACAACGTTGGCAGCTCCGGCACTAAGCTGTCCGGTGCTAGCTGGTCCATTTCATACGGCGATGGCAGCAGTGCTAGCGGTGATGTCTACAAGGACACCGTCACTGTTGGTGGAGTCAAGGCCACTGGCCAAGCTGTTGAGGCTGCCAAGAAGATCAGCTCGCAGTTCCTGCAGGACAAGAACAACGATGGTCTGCTGGGTCTGGCTTTCAGCTCCATCAACACCGTCAGCCCTACCCCCCAGAAGACCTTCTTCGACACCGTCAAGTCTAGCCTTGGCGAGCCTCTGTTCGCCGTGACTCTCAAGCACGGCGCCCCTGGCACCTACGACTTCGGCTACATCGACTCGGATAAGTACACCGGAACTTTGGCCTACGCCGACGTTGATGACTCCGATGGTTTCTGGTCCTTCACTGCCGACAGCTACAAGATCGGCACTGGTGCTGCTGGCAAGTCTATTACCGGAATTGCTGGTGAGTTACATTCTCCCTTGTGGACATCCATGCTTTGTTTACCATGACTAATCTCTTGAATTGTATAGATACCGGTACCACTCTCCTCCTGCTCGATAGCTCTATTGTCACCGCCTACTACAAGAAGGTTACCGGCTCCCAGAACAGCAGCTCTGCTGGTGGTTATATCTTCCCTTGCAGCGCCACTCTGCCTGACTTCACTGTGACCATCAATGGCTACGATGCCGTTGTTCCCGGCAAGTACATCAACTTCGCACCTGTCTCTACCGGTAGCTCCAGCTGCTACGGTGGTATCCAGAGCAACTCTGGCATTGGCTTCTCCATCTTCGGTGATATCTTCCTCAAGAGCCAGTACGTCGTTTTCGACTCCGAGGGACCTCGTCTTGGCTTCGCTGCCCAGGCATAAATGGAATAAATCTCTTGATGAGATGGTACCCATGGAATATCGGCGATTCTTATGTGTGATAATGTTGTACAGCGAAGAGCGATGTGATACATGGATGATAGATATGTTGGATTCGATCAGTCAACATAGTGAAATTTGGCCCTTGACTCAGCTAAGCTTATACATATCAATACAATGGGCATGCATATATTGGTGAAACCGTGAGATATAGAAGAGTGTACGGAGTAGACCCAACATCAACGGTGTGGCGATAAGCGTGAGGAATTTGTGGAGGAGCCAATGCGGAGCCGAGAAATGGGCGGAGCATCCAGACTTTCACCTTAATTCCTTAATTCCTTGTCTCCTTGTAGATTTATCTCCTTTATGATCTTACGACCTTCATTCTTTTCTCGGAGTAGGACAGAAAGAAAACATTGCTCGTCTCGTGTCCCCCGACTCTCACACCGCCGTTGCTGTTTCTCCAGTTCCCTTCCAGAATCGCCCCCCCCCCGGATTTTGGATTCGCACCGTCTGTACGCGATCAGAGTCAATAATGGGAGTTTAACCAGTGAAGGGTCTACGACAAGGGCGTATCGGTGGAAATTGCGCGGTTTATGAACTGTTTCCTGTGACGGCGATTCGAGGCCGTTCACATCGAGTCACATCATGGAAAATGACTTCCACTTGCTTCCCCGCCAGATCTGGGCGAATCCAACACCGACTACGACGAAGGTTTATACGCCGGGCTGTACGCCTGTCGTCTTGCCTATCAATGGTATGTAATCTCCTATCTTCATCGACACTTTGGTCCTTGGGCCGCAGGCTGCAGTTTGCCGGTCGCAGACTTGGTGTTTGGAACGCCCCTTCTAGAATCATATCTAATTACGAGGTGCGAATTCTTTATAGGACTCGTTTATCTTAATAAGTCATTCGCTATTACCCTCAGTGAAAATGCCGTCTTCGAGCCTGTCTGCACTGGCTCCCCAACCGATGAGGTTCACATCTCCGCCGTTCTCGATACGCGCGATCCATTTTATTCCTCCATTACCCCACAGCTATATGCCATCGGTTGTGCGACTGTCGTGAGCTATCTCCTCGTCATAATCCTTCTCATCACGCCACGCACGTTTTACGTCGGCGGCCCCGGCGGCGGCGCCAACTTCCTCGGCCGCCATGGGATGATCAGCGGCTCATATAGCGGGAACTCGTCGGTGGTTGGAGTCGGCGGACGACCGTGGCTACAGAAAGTGGCTGCGATCTTGGTTGCGATCTCGCTGACTATCGCCACGGTGGATTCTTTCCGAGTCGCCGAGCGGCAGTATAACTATGGGTTTTCCGATGCCGAGGCGCTTTCCCAGGAGGTTATCGACGGCATGGAAATTCGCATCGTGCGCGTCATATCGAGTACATTTCTGTGGCTTGCGCAGGTTCAGACGTTGATTCGATTGTTCCCGCGACATAAGGAAAAAGTTATGATCAAATGGGCTGGGTTTGCGTTGATTGTGCTGGATACGACTTTTAGTATTTTGGACAATTTTTGGGCGAGGAACGCTCCGACACGACCCAGGCTATACGAGGATGCCATTCCTGCTCTGAGCTACTTGTTCGAATTGTCGCTTAACCTTCTCTATGCCGCTTGGGTGATTTTCTACTCGATATCCAAGCACCGATACGCATTTTTCCACCCCAAGATGCGGAATATCTGCTTAGTGGCTCTTCTCTCGCTATGCGCCATTTTGATACCTGTTGTCTTTTTTGTTTTGGATATTGCCAAGCCTGAAGTTGCTGGCTGGGGTACCTATATTCGATGGGTTGGCTCTGCAGCGGCCAGTGTGGTGGTCTGGGAATGGGTAGAACGTATTGAAGCGCTGGAACGAGATGAAACCAAGGATGGGATTCTTGGACGAGAGGTTTTTGATGGCGATGAAATGCTTGAAGTCACTCCATCCGAGGAAGTTGACTGGCCGCGATTCTCCCCACAAGGACACGACCAAGGTGGCGGCAATGGCGCATCGTCAGGATGGGGCGGCGTGATGGGTTTAGCCCATCGACCTCTACGGGCTCGGGCTGGATTGCCTCTTGGCAATCGAAACAAAAGAGCCAGAGCACCACCATATAGCCAAGCCGCTGCGTCGGCGCCGCGGGGCCCAAACGGTCACCGGCCTACTCCACCCCCAGCGGCGATCACACCGATCAGCCGTGCTGATACTACCAGTGCAGCAAGCACAGTGTACAATGTCCGATATCATCCAGTGGCTAGCCCTACGCCTCCGGTCGCAATGCCAAATATGCACGAGGAGGAGGAAATGGACGAAGCCAAGGAACTCGAAGGCAGGGAGCCACATACTCCGGGTATCCATAATCAAGCTCTTTCCGTTCAAAATACCCGAGAACAATCCCCGCAGATCGTGCAAGCCGATCCACGATGGCATGTTCTCCTGCACCCATTCAAGAGGCGACGTGCATCTCTGCCCAAAGAAGTGGCGTATGCACAAGCCGAGGAAGAATTCTCAGAACACAGACCATCTGCTGCAGCAGAAGAGGCCGAGGCAGAAGCAAAAGCTGCCCGGTCTCGAGCCGATCTCTTCTTTTCTCTCCATCGCAAAGCCCGACCAGGCGCTGGACCACAAAACACCGACGGCTCATTACCAGTCACTGTTATTCCAGCGCGTCGCCGCGGCCAGCACACATGGTCCCCGCAAAACCGCCTGCTGGAGGACACCCAGCCACCGGGAGAGAGCCGGCCGATAGAACCTCAACATCACGGAGCGCCCTCCACTCGTCCCAATCTGCCTGTGCGGGTGATTCCTTCTCGACCAGAAGCGTCTGCTCCATGGACGGAGGCAGATGTAGAGCGAGGAGGTGGAGACTATGTCCTACACTACGACCCAGAAGCTGCGGCGCTGATCAACGAGGATATCAGCCATTTGGATCGTGAACTTGTCACAAATTACGACCAACAAAGCTGGACAGATACGAGTTACTCGGAAGAAAGGAACGATGTGTCAGCGGAACAGACTGGGACATCCGAGTCCCTTGTGCACGGGCCTTCAAACGGCCAGCATGGCCAAAGTTCTCCATAAAACGCCATTTTACGGCATCGCGTGTGGCCGACGGATTCAGGGGCCGAATGGAGGCTGAGGAGCTAGGCCCGGGACGATTTCTTGGTGTTCTAGGCAGTTATATTTGGCCATTTCACGGAGTTTATGGATTTGATATTATCGGCAAGGTGTTGGGAGGATTCCGTTCGACATCTTAGAAAGATACCCATTATAATTTTGAAATTGAATATAATATTGCATCCATACTTAGTCCTCTCATAGTTGATACTCTCTACAGGCTTGTAGTGGTGGTAGTGGTGACTATCGCTGATCTCTGCTTGGCTGCTGGCTGACCAAGGGCTGGCTTACGAAAGTGGAGACGAAATTTCACTCGGGAACTCGCGATTCCGGTGCATTTCCCTGCATTCTTTGTATCTCTATGTGACACCTTACCTTGGACGTCGCATCATGGCGACCGTCAATCGAAACATGTTCGGAGCGAGCATAACTGAACCGCCTGGCGGTGCCCAGTTGATGGCTCTGCCGTTGAACCTCATTGCGGAGATTGTGTCACATGTGAGAGATAACTCCGCACATCTCATTTCCATATCTGACATGCTGTTGTTAGGTCGACGACACAGGCGATCTCGCCCGGCTATGTCGAACATGTCGAGTCCTCAATTATATGGCGCTGCCACAGCTGTACCGCAGCCTGACGCTGACCTCCTACGACAAAATCCGTTATCGCGACGAACAACCAGAAGGAATCGGGAGCGCTAGTCCCTTCACGATGGGATTGAATGCCATTATTACACGATCTTATGCGACGCTGGTACGATCGATGACACTACGGGGTGAATGGAAGGAATACGAGCTGGAGGAGCATGCCCAAGTCGGCCGGGTGCCCGACGCATCGATGTTGCTGAACATCGCCGCACGCGCTGCCATAGATCGCATGACTAATTTGGAAAGCTTCCATTGGGAATTGAACACCAAAATGCTCGACACGGTTTTTCTGGGGTTGACACAGCTGCCGAAGCTCACGTCTCTGACTATCCGGTTCCCGTCCAGTCGTCACCCACAACCCACTTTCGTCATTCCCGGCATGCCGCATTTGCGATGTCTCAAAATCACCGATATCGACCCGCTATGCTACCCCGATGATATCTCGACTCTTCTTTATAAGAGTAGGAAACTGCGCGAATTGAAACTACATTGGTCGCCACGGATGCGCGATGCACACGAGCCTAGTGTCTCTCTGCATGATTACTTCCGCAAGCTGATCGCAAGCAAGCAGCCACTGGCGGTTAAGAAGATGACGTTCCAGAATCTATATGCCTTCCACACCGAAGAGTTCAACTGGGCTTTTGATCCGACTACTGTCGAAGACGTCACATTTCTCAGTGGCCTTGATGGCTCAAGTCTGGTCAACACATTCGTCGAGAACAGCTGGCCGACAGTCCCGCCTCATGCCAAGCTCCGCATGAAATCCATCCGGATGGATGCAGTGTCAAAGCGGAGCGCGGAGTTCATTGGGAATTTCTCTGGACTCGAACGGCTATACTTTGTCAATGTCACATCCGAATCAAGCGACATCCTCAATTGCCCACGGCCCGGAGGAGGGGTGGTCTCATCGGCGCTCACACCGCCAGTATCCGAACATCATTCGTCTGGTGCGCCCGGCGGAACCACAGCCAACTCCCCTATTACTTCTGCTTCTCCAGCTAGCCAGCTTAATGCTATAGCTAGTATGCGAGACATCTACCTCTCAAATATTACCACAAATCACGGCGCGACATTGCGCCATCTCCTTCTTCCATCTAAATGGCCTCTCTCCACCGGGATGGTCGCGCGACTCGTCCATAGCTGTCCGAATTTGGAGCAGCTTGCCCTTGCCACCGAGTTTTCTAGTATGGACTCATTGGGTCTACTAATACCTTTCCTCCGGAAGTTGAAAGCGATCCGGCTTCTCATACCCCCACCTACCGGGCAGGCGTCAGGTGGTCCTGCAACTTCTGCACTGAAGATATACCCATCTGCCCGATTTGATAGCATTAAAATGGTGCAAGAAACTTTCGCGAATGCCAAGACTTTTGCAGAAGTGGTGGACATCGACGACTCGATCCTGACCGAAATGTTGAGCTACGACCTTGCCAACAAGCAAGTTTACGGAAACGTGAAGATTATCAGCATGGGCTGGAAAGCCTGGGAGTTGAAGGACTTCTACAAAGCCCCAATACCATTAGGAACCAATAAAGAGTCTCAAACACCAAACGGTGATAATGCATCCCCAGAGACCACCACAGACAGTTCCGCTCCCACGCAAGGTACCGACGGCATTGGACCCAGCGCACCGTATCAGCCTGCCGTCTCCCATAAGTCGCCCGATACACAAACAACACATATCTCTTCTTGGTCGAAGTCACCCGGCACAAGACCAATCCTACCGCCATCAACATTAGGGAAACGATCACGCGATCTAGATGGCTGCGAAACTCACAGACCGCCACCCTGCCCGAGGACACCCAACAGAGCCGAAGACAACGAGGGTGTTCCGGTCTACGGCTGCTACCCGCACACCTTTACTGATGATGGCTTTGTGTGGAAACGGCGCGCGCGACGGGTAGGATGGGAGGTTCTACAGCATTGGGAGGTGTGGGCGTTGGACTCGCAGGAGATTTAAGACGGTTGTCCTTCGCATTCTGGCGTCATGATACAAAGGAGTTTGGCATACCAAAGAGCGGTGTTGGTTTTTTATCCCTAGGCCTGGGTTTGAGGTGTTTCACTTTAGAGCTAAAGCAGGTTATATCCTGTGCTACTCGGCGTTGGAAAAGTATATATACTACATGTGGGGATATCTCCTCTCTATGGGGTTTATGTCCCTCTTATTTGTAAATTGAATTTTATTAGATATTCTGGATAGAAAAAGTGGGAGTATGGTCCATTCAGACTAAGCTATATTGAATGTAGCCTAGGTGTGCAGGGCTATACGGATGACACTGCCGGTTATCAACGGTGCAATGACTTGAAGAAAGGTCCTCTTACTACTTAGTTCCCGTGAAGATTGTTACATGCCAGTTCAGTTCGAACAAATGTGGTACACTGGTAGCTCAGGGGAAAGAAAGGTCATCAAATCGCCACGAAGATGTTCATAGATCCGGGTACTTAGCGACGGGGTAGATGAGGTCCGTATTCGCAGATTGCTTGTCAATAAGCCGCTTTTGTTCTTGTCTGATCTCGGCTGATTATAATTTGAAATCAATCAGCACTCTGTCAACTCCATGACAGCTTGAATAGGAGAAAGCTGGATCACTCGATGAGAGTGATTGCGGAGTAGCCGATGGTGTAAAATGAGACTCAGCGAAGAATGCAGGTGGCTGCTCGGGACGGTGTTGGGGGTTTCTCCTGAACCCCGCGACTGGCTCAATCGAAACATTCATCGTTTCTCCCGTCAGAATTTGTGGCTCGAGTTTGTGTTGGACGAGTCTATTTACTCAGACGGCATCCACAGTTTGCAGAAGAGCGTGCTTTCCAAGACCAGGGAAGCCAGCAATTAAACGAATATGAGGTCCTCATATCGCGTCAGCTCCCTTTGTAGGTAAAGCCATCAATTGCTTCATGCTCGAGACTGTCCTCAACCTGGTTAGGGACCTTATACCATATAATTGTGTCCCTATCCATCCTCCCCTAATTCCACAATTATTTGCCGGAGCAAGGGTCGTTGCAACGCACCCTCGGAAAGCCCCAAGCGCAGCGATCTCAGACTCAAGAAGCCTCGCCGAAGAGGTCAAAGGCCATAATTGAACGCTCGAGTGAGCGCCGCTCAAGGGTCCTTAGGGGCTGGGTACCGACGAGCGAAGTTCTTGACAACCTTATCGGCGACAAGGACGTTGTGTCCGATCTCGACTTTCTCGAGATTTAGAAAGAGAACCTATGATAAAGAATCAGTACAAAGCGGTTTATCGTAACAGCGGTGGCAGAAGCATACCGAGATCCGTCTGAACAATTTTGCCCAATCTTCGGGCAATCCGTGGAGAGGCCATCTCCATTCTGGCTCCCTTCTGCCATAGCTGCTGAGGGAGAGGACAGTGACTAATTCGCCCTAGATTCGTGGGATATTAAGGCGACCCATAAGGGTCCGAATGTCAGAATCGCGACTGCTCCCTCGAACGCACAATTTCAATACCCGCAGCTTCGGGAAACGAACATCCCTCAGCGCGGCGTCAGCAACACGGACATCCCCGGTGTTGACGGTGACCAACGAGGCCAGCTTGACATGGTTAGCGTACTGTTGGGCGGAATCCGGCCGGGACCTTCGCGAAGATCACGTCTAGTGAGCGAGACACGGCCGGCGTATCCATCGCACCCATAGTGTTTTTCCAGGTTCGTTGACGTTGGATTATCTTTGTATACAACGCTCGGTTAAGAGTCGCAAATCTATAGAGATAACCCGCCTGGCCCTCCACATAGGGCTCCCACTTGGCACCCAGGCCAATTTTCCATGGCCGGAATTTCGCTAGCCACACCCACTGCTTCTTTCCCCCGATGCCCCGCGACTTTGTACATGAAGTCGTCAAGTCCCTGGACCTGCCAGTGGACAGTCTCAGAGACCAGCTCTGGTATGTTGAAGATTCGCTGAGCGGCGTTTTTCTTGGTGATGCCAGGCGGCCAGTGCGGGCGAATAGTTCGTCGAGAGCGAGTTGGGGTCATCGTTGATGATAGAGAAGAAGAAAAAAATAGGTTGGTCAGGAGCTTCATGGAATTTATACAGTTCTTCGATTGAATGGCCACATTATGAATAGGCATGGTGTCTCGAGGAAGATATTGCAATTGAACAATAAATGAGCGAGCTGATAAAAATGGAGGTACATGAGAGGTGAAAGTGATTTTATACAATATTATTGTCAATAGGGTCAATAGCTGCAATAGCCTCAATCAGATTCAAACATGAGAAGCCAGTGAGTAGTTGGGTCATTGCAGACGAAGATGGAAGTGTAGCTAAAGCAAGCAAGTATTGAGGGAATAACAAACAAAATTGAATAAAGATGAGAGCATAGAGATTAACGTATCATCTATTGAAGAAAAATAGGTTTTGCATGTAATATGTACTGATTCTTCAAGCCTCAAGGCAGAAACTAGGGATTCCGAGTAGGTTACTTGAATCGTCTCCACTCTGATTCTCGTAGTACATTGCCAATAAGTAATTTCATGCTTGCTGAGTCCTGATTAATATGGAACTGTAATTTGATAGTTTTGAGCAATCTAGAAGTTTCCGCTGAGGCTTGTGGTGACTTCTCCTTGATGACTGACGCTATCTCATCTTGATCTTTATAGTCTTGCGGGGTTTCAGCTTGGGAGGGAAAATGCGGAGTTCCAGCTTTGAAAGGCAGGTGGAAAAGGTGTTCCCAGCATTCCATAGCTCGGTCCTGAATATCGGGCAGCTTGTTGAGCTCTTTAGAGATTGTAATGCGTGTGGCGGCGGCAACGGCTTCAATTTTTTCCGTTAGGGCAGTCTATTGAAGTTGGAGCTGGCAGTATGTAGACATGTGCTTGTATAGCCGTCTCAAATCGTCGATTTCTGGCCCTATGCGGTCCAGGTTTTCCATAATGCTTTTGTAGGGGACGACAAAATCCCGGGGGATTTTTCCCTCGCTATCGGCTTGGTGAACCTGGTTTTGCGCTACCGCTCCGTGAACTTGGCTTTGTGCCTCAGGAGTGCCCGGTAAAGAAGACGGTAAGGAAGAGCTGATGCTGATTGCGTTGTTAGGTTGCGCCTCGGCTTGTGTGGTGGTCTGGCGTTGTCGCTGACTACCGTGGTTGGACCTGCTACCAGAAATGTAGCAGTAAGCTTGACCTCCTTGGTGGGGGTGCTGGAAGCTACGAAGCTATGACTAAGCTAAGCTTGTGACAGCATGGAATTCTGTTCATATCATAGTGATAAAGAAAGAGCGAGCAATACCATAGACAGGTAGAAAGGAAGATATGGTAGTCTTGATAGACAAGGTCAAGTGATCCCAATATATAGCAATCAATGAATGTAATTTAAGAGTGAGACGAGGCCAAAGATGACGGAATGAGTTGGAAGATGTGAATGGAAGTGTTGAAGAAGGGATATATAATGAAGGGAAAAGAAAAGTACATGAAATGGTTTGAGGCAAAGGAACTCTCTCTCTCAAAATGAGGGATTGCTATTGACTTGATAGTGGCCATATGCATTTGCCATAAACTCGAGTACCGACAACAATGATATCGGGCTGCCCCACCCACTGCTGCGGGTCTACCGGCACGGCCCGTAACCTTGCAGAAGCGACCCAGCGCCTGGGAAACTCCCCCAGGGCTGCCTCGATGACATGGCCTACCGCAGCCTACATCTGCTAACTGAAATTGGCATGAAAATTGTGAGGTAGATACCTCTATGCCGAAGCAATCAGACGGGGTTTACGTCTCGCTAAACCTATAAAGGGTACGGAGTACAGAGCACGATAGATACCTAATAAATGCGAAGAGATAATGCGTACCTAGATAGAGAACAGAAAAAGGATGCGTGAAAAATCAGTTACAACAAGAAACAAGTCATCTTACTGCAAGTATGCGAGAAGGAAGGTTGCAACTGATATTGGTGGTCGGCTTAGCATTGGACATCTGGAAATAACGGGGTTAATAGCGTTAAACCCGAGACAGTAGGTAGGGATAACAAAGGCTTGCGGACAAGTGGCCCGCCATTATCATTTTATATATAATCCTAAGACCCTTCTGGTCGCTTAATCCACGCATTCATTATCACGACCATCACAATGGCTGCCACTCCTGTTTCCACACCCCAGCTCACGAATAGCAAGCCGGAGGGCATCAACCTCTATGCTCGCTTTGCCCTTGCCGGTGCACTGGGCTGCTCCGTCACCCATGGTGCCTTTACTCCGGTCGACGTGTACGTGCTCTCAATTGCTTCTCACTCCAGCTCTAGCTTCAGCTCCATCACCAACATCGACTAAAATGAAGAATTTCCGCATAGTGTTAAGACAAGGATCCAGCTCGACCCTCTCACCTACAACCGTGGTATGATTGGTAGTTTCCGACAGGTCATCCGTAATGAAGGCATCAGCGTTCTTGCAACGGGCTTCGGGCCGACCTTTGCAGGATATTTCATGCAAGGCGCCTTCAAATTCGGCGGTTATGAATTCTTCCAGCAGAAATCTATCGATGTTCTCGGTGCGGAAAAGGCCAAGCAGAATAACACTGCTGTTTACGTTGTTTCAGCTGGTTGCGCTGAATTCTTCGCCTCGGTTGCGCTGTGTCCCCTGGAAGCAACACGTATTCGCCTTGTCTCGACACCCGGCTTTGCTAATGGTCTGATCGATGGTTTCGGGAAGATCGTGAAGAATGAGGGTGTCGGCGCTCTTTACTCGGGCTTTGGTCCTATCCTTTTCAAGCAGTACGTTCATTCGATCCAAGACTCCCTTATAGTTTGGTGAAAACAACATGACGAAAAGCTACAACTAACATATGTATAGGGTTCCTTACACAATAACCAAGTTCGTCGCTTTCGAAAAGATTTCAGAGGCCATCCTGAGCCAATTTGACAAGTCTCAAATGTCAGCTGGTGCCTCGACCGCTGTGAATTTGGGATCTGGTCTGCTGAGCGGTTTCGCGGCTGCCATCGTGTCTCAGCCCGCTGATACCATGTTGTCTAAGATCAACAAGACGAAGGGTCTGCCTGGTGAGAGTACTGTCTCTCGGCTGATCAAGATTGCTGGTGAGCTGGGTCTGCGTGGATCTTTTGCTGGTCTCCCGACGCGTCTGTTCATGGTTGGTGGCCTCACTGCGGGCCAATTCGCCATATATGGCGATATCAAGAAGTTCCTAGGTAAGTTTGGTTCTTCTTTTTCTGCTTGGTTTTCCCGATCCACCTGACACGGATACGAATTAACTTCGTTCACAGGTGCTACAAAGTAGAGAGAAAGAACGTTAGATTGTATTGTCCACAGTTTAGAATACGCATTAAATCATTCAGTCAGTATAGATATTGAGCCTATCTGTATATACCTACCTAGCTAGTTACTTGTGACCTGTGTTAACATTTACGAGGTGGCATAGCGGCAATAGCCATGTGGTCGATCTATGCCAAAACTAGACTCACACCCGAGGGGACAGCAAACAGTGGTGATATTCTGACACGTACTCGGCCCACATCGCTCCGACTCTGAGACGAAAGACGGGACGGGACATACAATCATTGCAGCGCTGAAATTGCGGCAGCAGAGTCTCGTTACAGGCCTTGTCCTCCTTTGAGATTATTTCGTGACTGAACAAAATAATAGCTTCCATTCAAGCCCCTTTAAAAATATGCTCGACTCGAAAGATTCTCGTACTTCTGACTTTCGGCGTGTCGTGCAAATCGAAGATGTCCTAGTGGACTGTTCGTTAAAGTTGACGTCCTGCTTTCCTTTCCAGGCTCGAGATAATGTGTTGCTTTTGGGCTCGTCTCGCGCTTGTTGGCCTCCGGCAGGGGAGTCGTTAATGGAGATATTTGGTTGACGTATCGCTCTAGCTGGAGGTAAGGCTCCGTCTGCTGGGGGAACGCGACCCCAATACAATCAGTGTGCCTTGTTTTAGAAGAATGCCAAAAAGACTGGTCTGGGAAATAGCGGCTTCCGTCAACGTGACCATGGAATGTGGCCATTAAGACTTGCATCTTAAGTCCAATAAGCTCGGGGCACTCTAGGGCTGATTTCGGAGTTTACACTGTAAGTCCGAAGTCCGCGATCGTCACCCTGGCCGGGGTTTGCAGGTCGGTCCGAATAGCAACACCCCTTATACTCACATGTATCATACAAGTATCATATTCGTTCATTGATCGTGTACTCCGTACACACAAGTTGATTTTGATGGATGAGTATCTTGTCATGGTACCTTAGACATATCTTTGCCATGCCAGATAGTGGCCGATCTAAGCTTGTTATGAACACGAGTTGCCCAGGGCACATTCTCTTTCCCAGCATTCTGCAAACAAGCTGCCAGAGAGACGGCATCAATCATACTCTGTGTGGCACCGTTCCCGGATCATGGAAGGAAACTGTGCGCATCACCGACTGTCGAGGCAGATACAGAAAAGGAGTTCTGCGATCTGTAGGTATGCGAGCGTCCAGGGCCCAGTCCTTACTTGACCAAGTGGTCTTGCCGGTCATTGCTCTGAGCCGTTTCGTGAATTTGTATGTAATGAAGGCGACTGGGTTGAAGCTCTGGTGGGAGACTGGCAGGCCGGTGACGAAATCGATATAGACTGTTTGGAAGGGAATTGGGATGGAGAGAATGGGTTGTTCGCCCCGAACTCGCCGGCCCTAATTGTTGGACGCGCCGTCGCCAGTCTCAGTAGCGCAGGTGTTAGGTCTGGAGCGTACACAATCATTTCTTTCGCTGCTGGGCCTAAAAAGAGAGCCATGTTAACAGGGGTTATGTAGTATTGACAGCAATAGCAATCCAACCCAGCAGACTATCACTTTCCAAGTCACCAGCTCCATAGAATCGATAATAGGATCAGAGGTAGAGTCTGGCAACACACGATCCTCCGCATTCATAGTGAGAGTGACCGAGTTGTGGCTATATGGAGATTTTGATCGATAAGATGCGCGACCCTTCGACTGATGATGGTGTTGGGAAGAACAGTAACGCCGAGCTGAGCGACGGCGCGACGACGGGTAGTGCAACTGGGGTAGTGGCATGGGGAAACAATGGAGAATGGTACAACCTTCATCGTCGGTCTGTTAGATACACAAAAAAGAAACCGTAAGGTTGGAAGCGTCGGTCATTGCCGTGACTACCTTCGAGTCTCGGCTACGAAGATTTACACCCCTAATGTATTCCGTGGGACTCGTCAAGTGGTAATGAGAGCCACGACTTCAGGAACGTCCACGAGAAAGCCCAGTTTGATGTTTGATGCAGACCTACATGGACCTCGTGCATATGGTAATGTCATGGTCCCTGTGGTAGATGAAGCAGCATGTGCTACGGCATCCTCTGCCGACGCTGTCTCGTGGGGGCTACGGTGAGATGGTGGCTAGAGAGATGTGGAGGAGAGAGGAAGAAGAGAAGAAGAGAAATGGGGGGAGGGGCCCTTTTATATTCCCAACCCACGTGCCTTCCCAAAATAGACACTCTCCATCGCACCTTCCCTGATGGTCCTATATCATATGATATACAGGTAGTGGCATACAAGAATAAATGCCATTACAATCAGATTTGGAAGAACATCCTGTTCGTCCCTCTCTTCAACTAGCACACCACCCCAGTCATTGGACATATGGGATTGTTCAGCACTGTACGAGTTATATCGTGACCGATGCCAATGAGGGACAGGCGCCAAGGTTAGAAACACGGTAACAATGAATCATATCTGGTATGCGGGAGAAAGAGAGAGATTCCGCTGGAGGATGTTGACAATTGCCAGCCATCTTGAGCTATTCTATATTGGCGCTGCAAGCCTGCATCTCATTTCGGCATTTGCAACCTTGGTGATGAAGGGAGTATTATCCATCAACCAAACACGGATTCAGCAATATATTGACAGCTCACAGTCTAAAACCAAGCCCTGACACAGTCTTTGCAATTCCTCATGGCTAAGCAGAGGTAGGAGCCAAGCACTTGCCGAGGAAGCCAATTCCACGGCCACGCATCCACACCTGGGCCAAACATTACGCGTGCTTATGTTTCGAGGGGGGCTGTTGGGCGGTTGGATGGTCACTGACATTCAGCAGGGGTCGCTGGGAGAAATCGACAGTCGAAGTGGAAGAGCCGAGACCAGCCAGGATACGTTCCCGTGTACTGTTGGTGCATAGAGCCATGACTTCTCGGATAGAGGCGATAGCTAGCGGACATTCTTCTTCAGATGGAGGGAGTCCAATTTATGCAGACGGAAATTGCGAGATGCTGATATTAGTGGCCTTACAATCGAGGCAGCAAAACATCACATTGAAGATTATGAATCGTGTACTTCACAGGTTCAGCAAACTCGCCGGATGCACCGAATCAAGATGTAGTCGGCCCAACGAGTATGGAAGAGGCAGAAGCCTACATACTTGAGCTTAAGAACGCAGTGTCAGGTCTGTGAAGCATAACGAACCTGTGTTTGAGTCTGGAGATTTGTAAGCATTAGATGGGTCACTGCTCGCAATATACCCTAGAGAAAGCTTTCAGTGTCCCGTGGCTTGGATTTAGATTGGCATGGAAGCAGAAAAGAGAGTAGTGGTTAGTGACCCACTGGATAATATATCCGGGATCTGTTTTCTTCTGCATGAGGCCTCTTTTGGTTACTGCCTCTTTTGGTTGCTGCATTTGTAGCGCAAACCGTCTACATGGCCTATTTCGATGTGTTACTGGCGATTTCTATATGCAAGTGCTTCGAGACTTGACCTTGGCCTTGTTCACCTGGGCAAACCCCTTTGATTAGAGAATTTTTCAACCTTGAGCGGGCCCGAGTATAGAGCGACCGCGACATAATAGGCATATTTGTGTGGAGAAATAGTTTGAGACGTCATCCTTGGAGTCTTTTGAGCCCAACCCGTGACGTTTCTGTTGATTTCATTTGCATGGCTGATTGGCTCAGAATGAGGTGGGATGGCGATTAGACCGTCTGCGAGACCTCCGCTCTTGCGACTTTGGCGGGGTCGACCCGCTTACCCGCCGAAGGAGGCCATCAGATTGGACTTCATATTGCGAATTTCCACATGTGCTGGCTTTAAATTGATGATGTATCACATTGGGATATTAATCTCGCATACTTAAAGCTACGCTCCCGTTATTTTGTACATTCCTGTTCAGACTAAAGCTTGTTCTGTTTGGAGAAACAGCCATGACCACTGTCACTACCACTACTCCATCTCTCAATCAGTCTTCGTTTGAGTGAGTTGACTATATTTTCTCCTGAGCAGGCAGTTTCTAATTGAGGACGCTAGGCTAAGTGGCCCATATGGCGATTGGAGAGACGACCTTCACAATGAAGGCTATGCGATCATTAAGAATGCCATCGACCCAAAAAAGGCCCAGGACTATCAGCGCAAAGCTCTGGACTGGCTTACATCTTTCAGCACAACCCTCGACCTTGATGATCCTTCCACGTGGACCAATGACAACTTACCGGTCCAAAGCAAAGTGAATACGTTCAATGGATATTCAGTCACCCATGAGAAATTCATGTGGGATGCTCGCATGGAGCCAAAGGTACTGGAGGCATTTTCCAAGATCTGGGGTACCGATGAGCTCCTCGTCTCGTTTGACGCGCTGAACATCACTCTGCCCAACCGAGAAGACAAGCCTGCTCAAAAACCATGGCCCCACGTGGATCAGTCGCCAATGCGTCGCGGGCTCCACTGTATTCAGGGAATTATCAATTTAAGCCATGCGGGTCCCGAGGATGGATCCCTTATGGTGTTTCCGCGGTCAAACACAGTAACCGAGGAGTTCTTCGACACCGAGACCGATCCATCCACCTGGGAGCAGAAGGACCTGCGCCTGTTCAGCGCGGAAGAAATCCAGTGGTTTGAGTCTCATGGTATGAAACCATCCAAGGTGCTTGCGGAGCCGGGAGATTTAATCGTGTGGGATTCACGTACGGTGCATTGGGGTGGGGAACCCACCGTCAACAGCAATACGATCCGAACGGTGATTTATGCATCCTACGCCCCCTTTGAGCTAGCCACGGAAGAGAGCCTGAAACGAAAGAAAGAAGCTTTCGCCTCTTACCGAGCAACAACTCATTGGCCCCATGAGAACATAGTGATCCGCGATGGAGTGGTGCATCTCCCAGATGGTAAGGTCGACCCCCGCAATCGATATATACCGCTGGAAGTGCCAGAGCACACAGATCGATTGCTTCAACTAGCAGGAGTAAAATCTTATCGGTAAATGAATATAATTTCTCACTTCGTTTTGTTTTTGGCGCCCAGATGAAACTAGGCACGTTTGATTATTAAGGGGCTAAGTTTTGGCGTTTGCTGACGACCCCGCAGTGAGCATTTGACGTCGATCTTCCGTATTGCTCACAAAGCAAATATGAAATCGTTTGAATCTCGCCCTCCCGTCGACTATCCACGGAAGCGTGCATCAATCGCATGTAATTTCTGTCGGCATCGGTAGGCTTTTAATTCCTCGCTTTGGACCGTCACTAACGTATACTAGGAAACGGAAGTGCGATGGGCAGAAGCCGACATGTGGCCTCTGCACCGATGCGGGGGCTCAGTGTGTCTATCAAGAAAGCGACAGGTAGAAAGCGTCACCTCGATGAAAAGGGTTCCTAGATAGTGACGATTCACAGGGTGCAAGATATCCCCGCTGAAATCCTGCTTCGCTTGACCCATCTGGAAACCCTGATCGAGCAACAGAAGGACGCCATCACCGAGCTCGCAGCCCGAGTAGGCGCTTCGTCGGATCATCCGGGTCGGTCAAGTTCCTCTATCTATGCCTCACAGCCTAAATACGACTGGGACCCATCACCGGAGCATGTATACGATAAATCCTCCTTCGGCCTGTTTTCACCGGAGAACACCTACGGCTCTGAATATGCATTTACCATTCCTTTCGGTCATCATACGCCAACCGGGAGCCTATTTGCGTTGGATCGAGTCAAAAATTTGGTTGGCGACTACCCTCAAGACTTTTTCAAGCAGATAGAGAAAAAGCGACCATTCAACAGTATCCAGGCCGCAGGCATACCTCAAGCTTTTGAACAAATCGACGTATCCCGACTGCATCCTCAGGTCACCAAACCTCTAATCACCGAGTTCCTCCATCATGTCCATGCATTCTTCCCGATTGTCGAGCCGCAGCTGTTACAAATGCTTTTTGACACTTTCTCAACGTACACCAAGGTCAACAGTATCCAAACTTCACTTTATCTCGTGATTCTGGCTCTCGGAAAGGTCTCTACGAATCCTCAACGGATTTTTGATATTGAAGCGGACAAGGATTTGAGTGGGATGGAATATTTCGCTTCCGCATATCACTACTTGAACAGCCCATTGATAACGTCCTTTGCAGCGGACCATTTGTTGCCTTTAGCTTTATTCTACGGCTCGTTGTATCTGCGCTACATAGGACGCCCAATCCAAGCATGGGAAATGATTCGTGAAGCATCTGGTAGTGTGCAGATCATGATATCTGAGTGAGTGTCTTTTCTGATATATTTTCCCGCTAGGATATTGACACGGATTGGATATAGACTGCATGACATGAACACACACGAAGAGCGAGCGAGTCTCTATCGGATAGCTTGGGCCTGCTTCATTCTCGAATGGTTAGTATACTATCTGGCATTATCTTGCATTCAGCTAACAAACTATGCCCAGTGACGATCTCGCCGAATTTAATTTCCCTCCCAGTGGTATTGAAGTCCTCGTGGATAGATTGCCCTTTCCTCGAATTTCAGAAGATAGCCGAAACGGCCATCTTGTATTCCTCGCCATGTGCTCGATTCGAAAGCTTCTCAACCGCGTGCACAGTGCTCTATATGCAAAACCCGATCAGGCTAATTTCCATACCAGCCCTCCGCCCCAACACACAAGTGACACCCCCAGTGTGACTCCCCAAAAGCAGTCGATTACATCTCTTAAGACAATCAGCGAGGAGCTCGATCGTCAATTGGAGGACTGGTTTGGCTCGCTCCCAAACCCCATCAGGCCAACCCTGGGCAATTCAATATCCGCAGATCACCCTTACGACACTTACATTCTCGCCCGGTACTATGCCACAAAACACATCATCTGCCGTCCGAGCCTTGTTTTTGCTGCCCACAGCCAGGGCAGTACAGTATTGCCAGAATTTATTTTCGCGAATTGCAAGAAGTGCGTTGATAGCTGTCGCAAATTCATCTGGGCGGCATCGCTTCTTATGATGCAGAGAACACACTCAAACTGGCATCGAATGCAAGCGTAAGATCATATCTTCCGGTCCAAGGTGGTCCAGTAGGCGAAGTTTACTTACTTTCCACATCTAGAATTTTGGCTGCCATTTTTACTCTCTCGACTGCGAAAACCACGCCGGCTTTAGAGCCCCTTGTTCCGGACTTCGATGAGCTAGTGAAGGAAGCAATTCAATGCGTTGAACCATGGGCGCAGTATTGCGAGACCGCGGATACAGTCGTCAGCATGTTGAAGACAATCCGCCAGAAAGTGCGAGTATTAGTTCGGGGAGCTTAGTAGAGAGTCCCTCGGTCTATACTTGGGTAAATATAGTATTTTGTTGATTCGCATTTGCATGTATATTTGTGGGTTTAAATGTGCCGAAGATCATCGAGACTACCATTTTAAGCCTGTTGAATATATTGTCATTTCAAAGAAGTCCACGGTGTGTTATCAGTAAGCCCGTAAACCCCACGCGCTGCGGGGGATTTCGGGAAAGCGTTCAACTCAGACAACACTTCACTTGCACAAGAATATGTCTCCGCCACGACTAACGAGCCAGATTAATTATATTCGTGGTGTTCGACTGGCAGGAGAGCCGTCCACCTGGGATATCCAGATTGGATACCCTAGAGACTCTCTTCGAGGCACAGTCACCTCTGTGACCCCGCATGAATCCTCTACTAAGGATGATTTCGAGTCTCTAGCCCTCCCAGCGTTGGTACACCCTCACATTCACCTCGATAAAGCTTTTATCCACAGCGCACCTGAATATGCCCCATTTCTACCTACAGCCGGCACATTTCAGGAGGCTTTGTCCTCCACGACCAAGGCCAAACAACAATTCAGCCATTCTGATATCATTAGAAGAGGAGAGTGGCTTCTTGCTGAGTCCGTTGCGTCGGGTGTTACTGCAATGAGAGCATTTGTGGAGGTAGACCATACAGTGCAGCTGATTTGTCTAGAAGCCGCTGTTGCTTTGAAAAACCAATGGAAAGATTCTTGCGATATCCAAATCGTCTGTTTTGCACAAGATCCTATATTCTCTAGTGAATACGGAGAGCAAAATATGGAATTTCTGGAAACCGCTCTTCATAAATATTCGCAAATCGATGTTATTGGGACAACACCATATGTCGAATCTAGCCCTGAGGCTGCGAAGCAAAACATCGAATGGGCAATTGATCGTGCCTTGAAGCTGAACAAACACGTCGACTTTCATCTCGATTACAACCTCGATTCAAAGAAAGAGGCTCTGGTCTGGCATGTCTTACAGACCCTCAAACAACGAAGCTGGACTATCCACTCAACAGACAAGCGTGTCATGCTTGGTCATTGTACACGACTGACACTACTCACGGAGACCGAATGGGTCCGACTGGCAACTGAAATCCACGAGAATGAACTTTCAGTCAGCTTCGTGGGTCTGCCAACAAGCGATATGTACATGGCGTCACCTCCCAGAACGAGCGGAGACTGCAAGCCTCCGCAAGATCGTCCGAGAGGCACTCTACAGGTCCTAGAGATGATCCGGAAATATGATCTGGATGCAGTGATTGGGGTGAACAATGTTGGTAATTCATTTACGCCATGGGGTTTGCCCGATCCGTTATCGTTGGCTTGCCTGGGCGTGGGAATCTACCAGGCTGGAAGTCAGGCGGATGCTGAGCTACTCTATGAATGTGTCTCGACACGAGCCAGGGCGGCTATCGGGCTCGCGTCCTATTCGGGTTTATGTGTGAAACAGGGGTGTCGGCCAGACTTGTTGTTGGTTCATCATAGAGATGATACTGGGTGTGGTGTGTCTCGGCCGCGAACAAATGTTGCGGAGGTTGTGTGGACTCCACCGGAGAAATTGAATAGGGATGTGGTTTCTGGTGGACGACTTAAGGTTTCTCCCTTTTCTGTAGCGGATTCAGACGCTCTGTATGAATTTTGATTTGGTCTCACACGACCATGGCCGTCGAAGAAAGTGGTTATTATGTACATAACGGTCCATGCGAATTGGGCGATTGAAGGATATGAATCTACGCATTTCAGAGCGGAAATTCCAGGTTTTTGCAAGCATGCAAAGAATTACTCGTTCGATAAGTAATAATGAATCCGTAGATACCAATATTGCATCATGGACTCTCAAGGATCAAATGATAGACACAAGGCATCGAGGGCTAATTGGTCGTCTTCGGCCGCAAGGCGTAGAACTGCACAGGCAAGAGGTTGAAAGACGGTGGGAAGCCCTTCTGGAGTTCCGACTTGACAACCTCCATGCCAGCCGCCTCGAAGACCTGTCTGAATTTCGCATCGGTCCTCGTGACACTGCTATCCTCACTGTCGTACATATCTTCTTTGGAGAAATGAGTGGACAAGTTCTCTTTGAAGACCATCAGGCCGTTTTCAGTCAATGCCTTGCGACACCGCACGGTAGAGTCAATGAGCTGTGAATCGGTGAGGTGGCCCGCACACCACTGGACCCAGATCAAATCGTATTTCTTCTCTGGGATCCAGTCTTGAAGGCCACGCGTGTAGATGTTTCCAATGACGCCGTCTCGTTTCAATTGGCTGTCTTTCATCACTTGTGTGAACTTGGCTACCGGCTCTACCGCATCTACCACTTCACAGACGTGGCTCAGGAAGCCCTCTGTTACCCGGCCGACGCCAGCGCCACAGTCCACACCCCGGTGGAGTTTGCCTTCAGACTGGACTTTGGGTAGTAAACGGCGGACCTTGGCTAGGAAAGTTTTAGACCCCTGTAGATCAATGCGTGACACTGAAGGGAACTCGCCCAGCATGCTGGCCGTGGTGGCTGGCACGCTGTTCCAGTATTTTAAGGAGGCAGCATGGTCGATTTTGGAATCCGCCGCGACGTTTGACTCTGGCATGTTGGAAGTGACGATGTCTGTACAATTGTTTATCGGAACATCCGTAACCTCGGAGGAGATGTCTTAGGTAATGAATGATGTGGACGCGGAAAATCTATCTATCCCTGTCACGTGATCGTGTAAGTGCAACGTACTCTACAGCATCAGATGTCAGGATGTCCTACGCCGTACGTCGTACATTATGTCTTAGATTGTACGGAGTTCAACATACAGCAATAGACTCTATCGATATGTACCGAGTATAATTTGCACATTTCAATGTGATTGGTTTCCTTTGTCGTTGTCTCACTACATCTTCCCCCTGTGTTCTTGGCAATCGACTTTAAATCACCCTAATTGGCCTCATACAGACGTGATACGCTAGACAAGAAAAGAAGACTTCGAGGTGGGCTGTGCTATGATCGACAGGGATAAACCGGAAAAATCTCGATCCCCAATAACCCTGGAACCCTCTTAGAGGACTCAGCTCGACAGGGCTTGGGGATTACGTGTAAACACTGGGGCGACACACCTGTTAGACCGACGTTGTGATTGGAAGTGCGCGCTGGAGCGTCTCCATAGGGTCAACTGCCGATCGTTCATAAATCATTTCTTCCCCTTATCTTCCCTTCTAACCACCTCTTTTTTTTCCTACTCACCACAGTCATTCTTTTATACTGTTTTTTTAACTTTCATCATGGCAAACGGTCGCTCGTCGCAGGATGAGCGTAAGCTGGAGGGCGGTGCTCCTGCCCCCAAGGACAACGGCCTCCACCCCGGCTTCTACATTGCGTACGTAACATCTACGTGAAGGCCTCGTCGGGTATGAAACTAAGACTCGACTCTCTAGCCTGTGGATTGCTCTGAGTTCCAGCGTCATCCTATTCAACAAATGGGTCCTTGCGAGTGCCAAGTTCAGTATGGACCCCTTATCTCTGATCCCCTATTCATGATGGACTGTGCAGCTAACCGCTATTGATTCTAGACTTCCGTGAGTCCATCCGCCAATCGAGTTTCAACCGCACCCGGAGGAATCAATTACTGACATGAGCCACCAGCGCTCTTCTTGACCACCTGGCACATGGTGTTCGCCACGGCGATGACCCAGATCCTCGCCCGGTTCACTACCGTGCTTGACTCCCGCCACAAGGTCCCTATGAACCCGGCCACCTATACGTGAGCAACTCCGATAAGATATGAAATAGCTAGGACGGCCGCAGTCCGACCGGAATGCTCGATCGCTAACCGGTGAATTTGTGCAATGCAGACGTGCCATTGTGCCTATCGGTATCATGTTCAGTTTGAGTCTGATCTGCGGTAACTTGGCATACCTCTACCTGAGTGTTTCCTTCATCCAGATGCTTAAGGTGCGTTTGAACCGGGGGTTGACCTCAATTGCGTCAATTGCGATCTCCGCCCACTCTTAAACGCTAGGTTCGACTCAATGCTAATATTCTCTAGGCTACCAACGCTGTTGCAACCCTGTTGGCCACCTGGGCTTTCGGAATCGCTCCTACCAACTTGAAGACTCTCGGCAACGTGGCTCTCATTGTTGTCGGTGTTGTGATTGCCTCGTTCGGCGAGATCAAGTTCGAAATGGTCGGCTTCCTCAGTATGTTATATGTCCTACTCATATATTTGACATTCTAGTCCTAACAACCTTACAGTCCAGATTGCCGGTATTGTCTTCGAGGCTCTTCGTCTTGTCATGGTCCAGCGTTTGCTCAGTTCCGCTGAGTTCAAGATGGACCCCTTGGTCTCTCTCTACTACTACGCCCCGGCCTGCGCCATCACTAACGGTGTCGTCACCCTTTTCGCTGAGGCTCCCCGTCTTACCATGGGTGATATCTACGGTCTCGGTATCGGAACTCTCATTGCCAACGCACTGGTTGCTTTCCTTCTTAACGCCTCTGTTGTTTTGCTGGTAAGTCATTTCATCCCACAGATAGTAACTACTTCTAACACACCAATAGATTGGCAAGACTTCTGCTGTTGTCCTGACCATGGCCGGTATCCTCAAGGATATCCTCCTGGTCGGAGCCTCCATGTTCATTTTCCGCGACCCCGTCACTGCTCAGCAGTTCTTCGGTTACTCTATTGCCCTGGCTGGTCTGGTGTACTACAAGCTCGGTGCTGAGAAGTGCCAGAGCCTTGTTACCGATGTGCGCCTCCAGGTTGGTGAGTACAACCGCAGCAACCCTGCCCGCACCAAGACCGTCCTCATCGGTGTGCCTTGCGTTCTCATTCTGCTTGTCCTCTACAGTGGTAGCTCTTCCGCCCCCGCTGCTGCTGCTCAGGTGACTCACTAAGCACGAAATCGCATACGTTGGCGAACTGAAGCAATCGATGGAAATTTGGAATACCCGGAGCACATTCCGCGTGGACCTATTGTTTCACGAATCCAAGCTCGGGTAAATTATTCCGATGCTTATGTTAAATTTTGATAAAGATTGTGTCTTGTCTTGTCTGGACAGGACAGAACATGCATGTACAGGTAGAGGACATAGACGATATTTAGCTGTTTTCATTGGGGATAGGATTTATAATAAACGGCTGTATGAAATTGATATGTTGTGTCAACTATATATCTAGTCCTGCTATTCCATTGCGTATGAGGATTGCAATTCAATGTCTCAAGGTAGACATCTTCGCAGTTATCATATTACTTTCATGGATAACGCTTGAACAAAATACCTACCAGGCCATAACAAACAGCCCCGACGGCAAATATCCACGCGAGCATGATCGCACGAACATCACGAGTAACCGATCATTGGTAGGATCAATTGGTTTTGCTGCAATAATGACACGCCCAGATATTGCATTTGCACATCAGATCCTTTTTCAATGGCTTACTAAGCCAGAAAGAAGCCACGTGATCGCTGCAGAACAAACAATATCGTACCTTTATGGGACGAGATATCATTCAATTGAATTCGACGGGTCATGTGATCCTAAATACGTCTTTCGCGCAGCATCAGACGCCAGTTTTGCAGATAACATTGGACGAAAAAGCTCTCAAGGCTTCATTTTCACCCTTTTCGGTGGTCTAATTGATTGGTCAGCAAGAAAACAACGAATTGTTACCACATCAACAACCGAAGCAGAACTTGTTGCCCTTTCAGAGGCAGCAAAGCACCTACTTTAGACGAAACGATTGCTCAGATCAATTGAATTTGACCCAGAAAACGATCTGATACTATCATGTGACAATAAACAGACCATTGATCTGATGATCAAACCCAATTCATCATATCAGACAAAATTACGTCACGTGGACATCAATCAACATTGGTTGCGAGAAAAGGTAAGAAATGGAGATATATATCTCCAGTGGATTCAGACAAACAATATGATCGCCGACGGATTGACAAAACACCTTCCGTCCCAAAAGCATGTTGAATTCCTGAATCAGCTGAATTTGAGACGGTTACCTAACCGGGTGACTGAGTTTGACAATGTTTGATCTATGTTAGCTTTTCATCCCATAATTGCAGCTTTTGACTAAGGTCAAAATCTGAAGGGGTGTGTTGGAATTTGTGTTCTATATTTGATTGTTTGCTTACTTTGCACTATTTATTCTGTTTCATCTCATCTGATAAAAGTCATGACTTCATCTGATCAAAAAATCATGAAATCATCTAGTCAGTTATGAGATCAACCTGATCTCAGTATTTGCCGAGCTATCCGCAATGTTTGCTTGCTATAAAGAAAGCCCCAGATTGTACTGAATATCAGACCAGACAAATTGACTATTCCAGACCTGAATATACACTTTGATCTCATGTATTTGACCGCCTAGTTGTTTGTCTGTTCAAACACTAAGCATTTGACCCCTCGAGAGCATAAGACGAAGCATTGTGCCTAGTTTTACCGCGCTCCAACAGTTATGAAGCCAGAGACGTAGGAGAAAACGAAAGAGCAAGCGCGCTTCCCGTCCAAAAAGTCATGCTAATGAAGCACAAAAACAAATATCGCGCAGTATTGTTTCGAATGCCCGCTATAAGAGCGAAAAACACCATCCCGACTATCATGTCTCCCATCAATAGTTGTGCCCTAGCATGGGGTTTGCGGTCAGCCAACCAGGAAATAGGGATAGCCGCAGCCAGAGACGCAATATAGAGCGGAGCCGTCATATACTGCGCGGCGGTAGAGGTGTACCCCATCTCGTGAATCAACGTTGGATAGAAGTATGAAATAGCCCCAGCTCCCGATATGGTCATGTAGCCCGGGATCAGTACCCAGGTTTGCCAATTCGAGAGAGCTTTGAACAAAAGCACGAAGATCGAGATGTTCTGGTCTTTCGAGTCGCCTTGATCGGCGATTCCGTCTTCGAGGAGTCTCTGTTGGGATAGCTTTCGTTCTTCGGGGGATAGCCCGCGACTGCTGTGCGGTAGTCGAGTAGAGTCCAGTGGACGATCAGGCTTCCCCCGGCAGTTGCGAGCCCTTCGACAATGAAGAGCCATCTCCAGCCACGGATACCGTGTGCGCCATCTAATGTCGATGTGATAGCTCCTGAGATTACTCCCCCGAATGCTCCTGGGAGTATACCTGCGGTTAGGAAGATAATGAACCGCTTTGATCTGCTTCGAGTAAGCGCTATTCAAGGCTGTGCTGTTGTATAATTGTATAAGCAATCTACTGCTCGTTCTTTCGATACCATGTAGAAATTAAGAAGATCACGGCTGGCTTTATCAAATTTAAAAGCGGATTTATAACATCCATAGAGTCACTCACACTAAACCCTGCTTCGAAGACTCCAAGAAGGAACCTCAGAGCTATCAGTTGACTTTGATGACGGACAGCACCTATTAAGGCTGCAATAGATCCCCATGCGAATGTGATTACTGGAAGGAAAACTGATAAGCGAGTCCGAGAGAGAATTATGCTGAATCTAGTCTTAGCGCTTTTCATGTGGAAGACACAAAGGCTCTCATCTTACTTGGATGGTACGCCAGAGATAGTATAGCCAATAACCCACACTAGTGTAGTATTGATTTGATGTGAGGTGCAGATCCTCTTCATTCCGGCGATTTTTGCAAGACCAATATTCAATCTGTCCTGGTACTTTTAGCGGAATATAGTTGGCAATTGATATGATAGATTAAAATACCATGTAGGAAAACAGGTAAAGAATAAAAACTGAAGGCATCAAATAGAGATCGATCTTTCGGACGAGCTTCTTCTCGGCGTCTACATCGATCGTGATACAAGTGGGTGCAAAGCCTGGTATTCGACAGATATAGACATCTCAGTATACACTTGCCAGGTTAAAGGGGGATATTGATATGAAAGTAGCCTTTTGCAACCACTCCTCATGTCTAGTCTGGAATTAGTGGACTTATATCATCAAATTTACGGAATCGTCGGTCTACAGGAAAGATAGGGTTGAAGATACTGAATGGTTGTCGACGATCTTGTTCGATACGAACATTCCACAACATTGTTTGTCTCGTAGCAAAGCCCAAATTAAAATATTTCGAGAATATGGCACATAGGACCTTGGTATGTCTACAACTATACCGAAGAAATCAACGGCTACCTATGTAGAGATACCATAGTCAACCGACTCTATAAATAGCTCAGACTAGAAGTCGTGTATTGTAGACCCATTTGAATCTGATAATTATTCACAAAAGAGGTTTTCAATTCTAAACGCTCAAACTATTTATGCGCAAAGTTGGCCGTTCTTGTGTTGTGGCTGTGGAAATGTGTCATTGTTGCGCGTTCGGGCCCAGACATGTCCCCAATGTCTTAAATTTCACTCTTCTGAATATTCACTCGACATTTGTCCCTCCCCATCGGATTTATCACCTGGACACAAGCGACAGAACAAATATCTGCCCATGGCGACCAATAGAGGGATTGTTGTCATATCAGGAGGGAGCGCGGCAAACAATCTCGTCGATGTATTCAACGCCGTCCGTGAAAACAAGAATTGCCCACTTAGCTACATCATCCCAATCAGTGATAACGGGGGATCCTCTTCCGAGTTGATTCGAATATTCGGTGGCCCTGGGATTGGCGATGTTCGGAGTACAACTTACGCCCAACACTTCGTATCTCCCCTTGCTAACTTGTCGGACAGGTCGATTGGTACGCTTGATTCCGGATTCGTTGACAAACCCTGAGAGGTCAGCTGTCAAGGCATTGTTTAACCATCGGCTGTCTGCGGAAGCAGGCAGCGCAACCAATGAATGGCAGTCCATCGTGGACGGCACGTCTGGGCTATGGACAGCTATCACCCCCGCCAAGAAAGAGTTGATACGCTCATTCTTCAATGTATTAAATCTGGAAATTCTGAAACGAGCCCGACCGCCATCATCAACCTTTGACTTTACCTCCGCAAGTGTCGGAAATCTTTTCTTGACTGCCGCCCGGCTGTTCAGTGGAAGCTTCGAAAGTGCCATCTACCTACTCGGGAGCATATGCGGCGTCCCGTCAGATCTGGTGCGCGTGATCCCAGCAATCAACTCCAATTTCTCCCACCATATCTCTGCATCGCTTGCGGATGGAACTGTGATTGTCGGTCAGAATAGTATCTCGCATCCAAGCGAGGCGACGGCCCTCGAGCACAATCCCAGCTCCAGGAGACCAAGTCTGCTCCTTGCCGATGGCGACGATGACTACACGGATTCCGAAATGTCGGACCCGACAATATACGAGGAGGATCATCTTCCTGGCTCTCTGGCAACTCTCCGCAACAAGAATATCAAATTCAGTAAAACCGAGAATGAAGATTTGAGTTCTCGAATCACTCGCATCTGGTACATCAACCCCTACGGCCAAGAGATCCGACCGCCCGCAAATCCGCGAGTGCTTGAAGCAATAAACGACTCCCAGGCTATTATCTACAGTATCGGATCTCTCTACACATCAATCATCCCTGCTATCATCCTGCGAGGCGTCGGCAAAAGCATCGTCTCCAGTCCCGCCCGACACAAAATCCTCATTTTGAACGGATCATTGGATCGGGAAACAGGGCCTCCATCCGCACCATTTGTCGCGTCTGATTTTGTGGAAGCAATTGTAAGCGCCGGAGAGGAGAGCCGTGGACGGGGTCCGATTTTTCATTCTCAGCATCAAAGTCACAACTCAGCGACTACTTCGGTGCAAGAAAATGTTCGAAATTATAGAGCCCTTCCTTATACCAACTATGTGACCCATATCTTGCATCTGGATGGTCCGGGGACACCGCATGTGGACCGTGAGCGGCTCACACATATGGGCATTGAAACGCTTCGTCTCTATGGACGAAAAACCACGGCCAGGGATGGAGATAAGGAGACCGTTGTGGGGATGCAATATGACCCCAATGCCCTTGTGCAGGCCATTGAGGTGGTATTGGGGAAGAAGGGGGATGCAATGGTTCGTGGGGGATTGGGAAATGCGCTGGGTCGACGGAATACACTTGATCCTGCAAGAAGAGACCGAAAGGATATGCAATAGTGTCTGTTTAGAAGTTAATATTGTACTATAATAGTTCGAGGTACAACTACATCTACACACCATATTAATCAATGGAATCCATGGATTTGGAACTCCATTTGTCAATCCCAGCTCGTGAACGCTTATGCAAAACCCTGAAAAATACCACCCATGCCCATGCTCCGATTCCCAATGCCGCAAGAGTCGAGAGAAAAACAAAGATTTGAAGAGACCAAGGAAGCGGGTATAAAGGCTCTATGGGCCAGATACGGGAAGATCACTTCGCTTTTTTGTTAGAAACAACAACGGAATGAGATTCTTAGACTTCCCCGGCATCTCCTTTCGCGAAATCGGTGTGCGGCACACTGGGCAGGTCCCCTTGTGTTGTTTTGAAGAGTCACCGCCACGTGTCTGCTCGCTCATCTTCAAGCAGTCGATAATGCACTTGTGACAAAAGAGATGTCCTAAAGATAAGGAGTCAGTAGAAGCCCTAGCATCCTTAAATCCAGTATAGTAGGGAATCAAGAACATACCGCACGAGGTACTCGTTGCGTCCACGGGCGTTTCCATGCAAATGGGACATTTATAAGAAAGTAGAGCGGAAAGGTTTGAATCACTCTCCGCTGAAGCCTGCGCTTTTATAGCATCCTCTCTCTGTTTGGCCGCTGTTCGAGCGAGTGCGGCCGCGCCTGAGTCGTCGGTCATGTCGATTGTTTCGATGGGCTCATTTTCGGAGAAAGCCGAAGGGGATACGAAGGAGCCGTCATGCTCATCGTTCCAATTACGGCGACGCTTGACACCGCGGGTAGTAGTAAACTGTCCATGTCGGGAAGAGGTTGCATGGTCCGGGGCGGCAGGCGGGGAGGAGGATAAAGAGATAGGATTTCGCCGTGATGATCTGGTTGTCAGGTCGACAACATCAGCCCTGTTTCTGCTCATTGTAACAGAGTGGGAAGGAAGACTCTTTCAAAGAGGTTTGCGTTAAGGTTGAGCGAGGGCAATAGTCTGGAGATGAGAAGGAAAGTCGTATGCGGCTCTGTGCTGCCGTGTGGGAGAGGGTGTGAAAAGATCTAGGATTGGTGGCCGACGAACAGCCTCAGAGTTTGGGAGATTTCGCTAAGACAAAATGCAGCGACCGTGGGTTTAAGAAGAAGAAATTTGTCGGCAAAATCGGGCCTTTCAGCGATCAAAGCAGGTGATGGCGACAATGCCGGCCAGCATATGGGTCTTATCAACTGGGTCATGTGGCGATAGGGGATCAGATAAGCCCGCTTCGTATTGTGTATCTATAAATGGAAGGCGGTCAGCGAGTCAATGGAGGGGTGACCGCCGGATACTACTGCGTCACATCACGTGAAAAGTGTCTACGAGGAGAAGGCGGTCAAGCATACAGGGAAAACAATATTCCGACCTGCATGACGCCCGGATCTGCGATAGGCGATGATATGGAAATTAGCTACGTCCATCTTCATAATTACCTCTTTTTTTCGGATTTTTTTTCAGGCTACTAGTGCAGCCTTACGGCTGTCGCCACACTTCTAACATGACCTAAACTTGCCAAATTCTTATTTAGGATGTTATCTTGGAAGTTCTCCTGCACTCCTTGTTCCAAGGGTGCCGTGGAATCTTTCTTGCGACGAAGCTCGCCGTTCCTGGTTAAGCCGCCATCGTGCTACCAGTCAGACAGAAGTCATACAAGATTATTCTCTACTTCCGCCGACAATGTGACCACAAGACGATCTCTTTCTGGTGGGTGCCCTGTCTTTTGCGCTTCTCGATAAGAAAACAATCAAATCGCAATTACTGATCTCGCGCAGTCCCTTCCTCATCCAGATTCAATGACATCGGAGTCCAACAGCTCAGCGACCATGTCCATGCTCAAGTTTTCCCCAACAAAGGTCGCGTTCCGGACCCAGAACTAGTCGCTCTCTCGAAGGATCATTTAGCTCGACATGAGCTCCTGGGCAAATCTCAAAATGGCGCCGGTCCTATCGCATTCGATCTTCCTGCTCTCAAGGGACAAACGTTGGACGAACACTTCTACAAACTTGGAATGGATTCTTCCGAACCATACCTGTCATGGGCTAAGTCATATGCGGCTCTTACCTGTCCGGCCAAACCACGCAAATGGGTCCAACGCAGCGGATGGACGAAATACCACACTGACGGAACCTCTGAACCTGTCGACGCCCCAAATGAATCAATGTTAACATTCGACACCGAGGTCATGTACAAAGATAATCCATTTGCGGTCATGGCTTGCGCGGTAAGCCCGACAGCTTGGTATGCATGGATATCACCGTGGCTGCTTGGCGAGTCAGAGAATCAAGTACAGCTGATACCCTTGGGAGACCCCACTCAATCTCGCATTGTGGTTGGCCACAATATTGGTTACGACCGAGCCCGAGTCCTTGAGGAATACAACATGCAGCAGTCTCAAAACTTCTTTCTCGACACAATGTCCCTACATGTGGCGGTCAACGGCATGTGTTCGCAACAGAGACCGACTTGGATGCGCCACAAAAAGAATCAGGACATGAGAGATAAAATCGCGAATGACCACGATTCTGTGGAGCTTGCCGCACTTCTCGAAAACAACATGTTGAGAGAAGAAGAGGAGGAGCTTTGGGTTGGGCGAAGCTCGGTGAACTCCCTGCGTGATGTGGCCAAATTCCATTGTGATGTCACTATCGATAAGGCGCAGAGAGATCTGTTCGGTGAACTTGATCGTGACTCTATTGTGGCCAGACTGGAGGAACTTCTCGACTATTGTGCTGCCGATGTTGCCATCACCCACCGTGTCTACCGAAAAGTTTTCCCCAATTTTCTCGAGACTTGCCCGCATCCCGTCAGTTTCGGTGCTCTTCGACACTTATCCTCCGTCATTTTACCAGTCAATGAGTCATGGGAAGAGTATCTTACCAGCGCAGAGGAAACATATCATAAGCGGCTGGACGATGTCCAGAGTAAACTACTAGCACTATGCGACGAAGCATTGAAGTATAAAGACCAACCAGACATTTACACGATTGATCCTTGGCTACAACAGCTGGACTGGTCCGGCCAGGAGATCAAAATGGCCAAAGGAAAGAAGAAGGGTGATCCACCTCGGCCGGCAGCGAGGCAAAAGAAACCAGGAATGCCCAAGTGGTACAAGGATCTTTTTACCTCCAACGCCGCCGATATTAACTTGACGGTGCGGACTCGCATTGCGCCAATTCTGCTCAAACTTTCCTGGGACAACTATCCTCTTGTTTGGTCGGACCTGCACGGATGGACTTTCCGCGTTCCTCGTGATCAAATCAAACAGTATGAGAATCAGCCAGTCGTCATGTGCGATATGACCGAGGAAAAGAACACCGAGTTGCGAGACGATAGAAAAGCCATATACTTCAAAATCCCCCACAAGGACGGCCCACAAGCTAGGTGTACCAATCCGCTTGGAAAAGGGTATATGCAGTATTTCGAACGTGGGATCCTGTCATCTCAGTATGAACTTGCCAAACAAGCGCTGGATATGAATGCGTCATGTTCTTATTGGATCAGCGCCCGGGATCGAATCAAGGGTCAAATCGTGGTCTATGAAGATCAGGCGCAAAAAGGCAGAGAGAAAAGTGAAGCCGGCGATAATCGTATCGGATTTATTCTGCCTCAAGTCATTCCAATGGGGACCATCACTCGACGCGCCGTGGAAAATACTTGGTTGACTGCAAGTAATGCGAAGGCCAACCGTGTTGGGTCAGAGCTAAAAGCTATGATCAAAGCACCGCCGGGCTACTCGTTCGTTGGAGCCGATGTCGACTCCCAGGAATTATGGATTGCAAGTCTTGTCGGAGATGCCCCATTCCAGATTCACGGAGGAAACGCAATCGGCTTCATGTGCTTAGAAGGGTCTAAAGCTGAGGGGACGGATCTTCACTCACGAAGTGCGTCGATTCTGGGAATCTCGCGGAATGACGCCAAGGTCTTCAACTACGGCCGAATCTACGGGGCAGGCGTCAAGTTCGCCGCTACTTTACTTCGCCAGTTCAATCCGTCTCTAACTGAAAAGCAGACACAAGAGACTGCCAAGAACCTGTACAAAGAGACTAAGGGAACGCGCACTTCACGTCGCCTCTTGAGTGAGACGCCGTTTTGGCGAGGTGGCACTGAATCCTTTGTGTTCAATAAACTCGAAGAGTTTGCGGATCAGGAACGACCTAGAACCCCTGCTTTGGGTGCTGGGATCACTGAGGCGCTCATGCGACGTTTCATTAATAAAGGCAGCTTCATGACATCCCGAATCAATTGGGCTATTCAGTCGTCGGGTGTCGATTATCTTCACCTCTTGATCGTTAGCATGGACTATCTTATCCGACGATTCAACATTCAGGCCCGCTTGGCCATCACTGTTCACGATGAAATTCGCTACCTTGTCAAAGATGAGGATAGGTATCGCGCTGCAATGGCTTTGCAGATTGCCAACGTTTGGACTCGTGCCTTATTCTCTCAGCAAGTAGGAATTGATGACCTCCCCCAATCATGTGCCTACTTCTCCGCCGTCGACATTGACCATGTCCTTCGCAAAGAAGTCGACATGGACTGTGTGACCCCTTCTCATCCTCACAAAATTCCGCATGGTGAAACGCTGGATATTACTCAGCTCCTAGACAAGGATCAGGAAGCTTTCTTGGACCCGTCCATCACACCCCAGTCGCCTCCAAATCCCGACAAATACCCATACACTCCACGGGAGTCGGTCATGTCCGCTTTCCAAGCTTCCAATGACATTGATTTCATCAAAGCTCAAATCACCAAAGATGACAAAGAGCTTCGCGATATCATCAAGGAGAAGACGCGCGCAGCTGCTAGTGTCATCGCTCCTACTCCTCGCACCCCTTCTACCAAACCGAAAGGTACTTCTACCAATTGGAGCTCGGCAAAGCCCCAGCGGGCGGTTCTGATGGACATGGAGTCAGGCCTCTATCCCGACTTCCACGGCTCCCGGCCTAGTTTTCATGGGAATAAACAGCCTCAAATTGGACTCCACCGTCCTCCCTGGAAACCACGGGCAATAGCCCGAGTATAATGCTGTCTCCCTCCTTCTCTTCCTCTCATTACCTTTATATTCTCTTTGGCAGCCTTTTTTTACTGTAATTATTGCTCTGCTTTCCCTATCTTGTTTAACTATTGTGGATGTTGTTATATCTGGAGTGATTGGAAGCCAGCATTGGGACGGCGTTACTGTATGGTGCATGGTGATGTGATGTGATGGAATGGAACCCGTGTACTTATATGTACTTGTACGAATCTATCTCAATGAGGTCAAGAGTCCTGATATGTACTCCATAGCCTATGCTGGACGCGTATGAAGTAGAGTGTCTTATAGGGCTGTGCCCGTCCATCCTCTCCCTTAAAATAAAATAAGGCGCTCCGCCCCCTGTGTACGGGAAACCCCCTGTCTTCTATTATTTTTCTTTCTTTTTCCTGTTTACTATTTATTCTTTTCTTTCGTTCCTTCGATTTTCTCGTCTTTGTTATCTTTCATGTTAAAATTCAGTCTTTCCATTTGACCGGTTTTGTCTTAACTATCTCTGTAGGACGCGGCAGAAAACGGCTCTTCGACGTCATTCATATCCCGCACGCATCAACATGTTCTCCCCCGAAGTGGTGTCTCGATGAGAGGTGCACCAATTGTACAAATATCCTGGGTATATACCCACCAGGCATTGACCAACCCCTGGGCCGGGTTCACATCATTGAGCCGCAGCATATCGAAGTCCGGAGCCGATGAGAACCCGTCATTCCACCGTCACGATTAGATGTGCACATCTATATAAACCGTGAAGATGAGCATACACTCAGTCGATTATGCACAGCAGGGTCCGACACGACCCGAGGTCGATGTTGAGGCGGGTCGCCCGTCAGTCAGTTCCCAAGTCGCTCCAACAGTAGGAGAGAGAGAGGGAGCCGCGTCTCCCGCATTCACCACAGCAGCACGAGTGAACTCCACCGAGACGACAAAACGCCGAGCCAGACGCAATACCGCCCGCTCATACCACCCCGAAGGATTCGCACAAGATCCCAATTGGCAACCAGGAACCGAACCCGGCATTGACCCAACCAAGCCGCTACCGCCATACACGTCAGAATGGTCGTCCAACATACCAGCGGACCTACAACGACGCTGCCAGATCACCGTGGTGGACTTCTCACAACATGAAATGCGACAGTATGAGTTAGACAATGACACACTGGAGCAATTTTTGCAGCGGGAGAAAGAGCCCTGGGTGCAATGCCGGTGGATCAATGTCAATGGGTTGAGCTGGGATGTGATCAAGATTCTTGGAAATCATAAGAGATTGCATCGGCTTGCAATTGAGGATGTTGTCCATGACACTAACCGCACGAAAGTGGATTGGTACTCGGACCATGCCTTCGTTGTACTGACATTGCAAAAGTTGGTGAAGATACAAGAAGAGGACTCCTCTGATTCGGAAGATGAGGAGGAAAATCCAGTCAGTCCATGGAAGTCAAGGGACCGGAAAAGTTCTGTGGTCAGTGACAAGAGCTCGATTTCGTTGAGGCGACCCACGAAGTGGAGTGTTATTATGGCGGCATTGAAGGACATTTTCAGGTTCAGATCCTCCACAAAACAGGAGCGCAAGGATATGGCGAAATATGGATCGAGCGTTCGTCCTGGGCTTGGACAAAATTCAACACAAAATTCCCATTTTGGAAATGTTGGGGCCACCACAGACACATCTGCCAGGAGTCTTCAGCGATATCGCGGTGGTCCGAATGAAGATCGAATTGAGTTCATGGAACGCCATGCTGCACTTTCTGCCAAAGGATTATGTGTCACTTTGGAACAAGTTTCGATCTTCCTACATACCGATAATGAGGTGACCTCCTTTTTTGAAACGAGCGCGGATGACATCGAGTCGCCAATTGTCAGGCGCCTCAATACGCCAGAGACTATCCTTCGACAGTCATGCGATGCCAGTATGCTTTTGCAGGCCATTCTGGATGCTGTGATTGATCTTGCGATTCCAGTAACGATGGCTTATCAAGACGCCATCGGAGACCTCGAGCTGGAGGTTCTGACTGATCCAGACATTGAACAGTCAAAGTCCTTATATATTTTGACATCTGAGATTGCTGTTCTGCGGAACCATATGCAGCCTATAGTGGCTGTGATTAACGCTCTCCGTGATCACCGGTCTGAGCCCGTCGGCACACCAGGCTTTGGTGTCCTAAGGAATCCCCTTAGCCCAGGTGCAACTCCTGCAGAATTTCTTGATCCCCGCCCACATATTGGGACTGTACCGCCAAATCTGAAGAGTGTCGGAGGCACAGGTGTTACGATCAGCTCTATGTGCCATACATATTTGGGCGATGCCCTAGATCATTGCATTACTATCGTTGAAGGGTACGATCAGATGCGGCGCAACGCTGATAACATGATTGACCTCATTTTCAACACTATTGGTACGTTCAACTTCTATGGATAATTCAAGAGAAAAACAACGGACTAATATCCTGTGCAGGTGCCTACCAGAACGAAAGTATGAAGCAGCTTACTCTTGTGACTTGTCTTTATCTTCCTATGACATTCTTGACAGTATGTATGACTTGAAACTATGAAGAAAATCCTCTAACATTTTTAGGGTTATTTCGGAATGAACTTCACGCATTTCGCGGGAATCGAACACAGTGAAGGGTATGTCTTTCGACCCCTTTCTTCTAGACTTGTTGCTGACTTTAGAAGATATTTCTGGAAGATTGCAGTGCCGTTCGTCCTCGTTACGATTTTCTACCTGATGTGAGTTCTGATATTCCTCTCGAAAACAGCCGACACTAACCTGCATCTTTAGGCGCGACAAAATACAACGCTACGCTGTCATGCTTGCTCAGCGACGTTTGATTGTTAGCTCGAGGAAGCAGAGACGAGAGAGGACGAAGAAATAGATCATGAACGTCCTACAGCTCGCTGTCCCAATCATTGTATAAAGGCGTTGCCGCGTGCGGGGTTTGCTTGATTTTGATACATTTTATTGCTCAGACCTTCTCAGGTTTTGTACAGATACTTTTCACTTGGACAGTATTTAGAACTCATTTGTTGATAGTATGATTTCAGAGATCAGTGTATGTATATTTCACTGTTCAACATTGCATCGTGGTAACAGTTTTAACATTCCTCATATACAAAAGAAGTCATCAACGGTCCAAAACCTGAAGTAGTATATTACACATATTATACATGGCCTACATGCCATTATTCCAGAGACTTCCGTCGATAGGCCGAATAAGCCTTCCACGGAAGTCTCCAGTCTGACCGAAGCAAATCCGGGCTGAAAACATCAAAGTCTTGCTTTTCAAGGCGATCCAGCCACATGCGCGTGCCGACCGCCGGTAAGAAAACGCCAAATGCCCGGTTGACCTCTTCGAGTGGTGACTCGCTGCTCCGAGCACTAGGGGAAAGGTCGTATTCATGACCCTCTTCGCCTTCATGCTCAAAGTCATGGCCGACATCCTCCCCGGCGCGGAGGTTGTTCAACATCTGCTGCGCAGTAATCAAATGATCACTTGCCCGTGTCGCAACAGTGAAGACTGCATCCCGGAGACCCTCTGCTTGAGCTCCATATCGAAGGACATCCTCCTCTTTAACACCAGCTTGTGCCATAACATCTAGAGGCAACATTACGGCTCCTTGTTTCGCACCCCCTCCTAGCGCGGAACCCGCAGCCCCAGGAGGCGCTTGAGCAGGTGGCGTAGGGAACGCAACAAACGGCAGTCCACGTAACACAGCCGCAATCCCCACTGCCTTTCCAATATGAGATGCAACATGATCTGCAGTTATCGAGGCCATGGGCAATGCCGACAAAGTGAGGTACATTAGTGTCGAGTATGTATTCTCGGCGTAGGACTCCAGCGCGGCGATATTTGGGTATGGGTCATTTGTTAGGGTTCGCTCCCGCGAGTTAATTATACGGGTCAGCCAACCCTTGCTTATGTGCGCGCGGCCCTGCGTGCGCTCGTGGAGTTCAGAGATGGCGGATGCAAGCAAGATAGCGACGGGTTCTTTGGGTGGTGTGCCGGCAAGGATCTTCGTTACTGAGTCGCGCCAGAATTGAAGTCGCATCAGTCCGATTGTGGGAGAGGAGGTGGTGTCGGGTATCATGGAGAGGGAGACGTTTAATGCGCGCAGCGCAATATAGAAGGATTGCGCATGTCGTGGGATGAAGGTACTCAGTGTGTAGGAGGGGCGGTCATATTTTCTGTGGAAAGATAATTATGTTAGCTTCTGAATAATTTTCCATGGGAGCTTCAGTAGGCTTTGGTGACCATAAGGAAGGTGTTCATACGAGAGAAGAGCAACGCAATATTTGTGAGCGCCTTGGACTTGTTCTGCGGTAATAGGTGCGGAAATAGATTGTGTCCGGCTAAAGTGTCGTTTTTGGGATTGGACGCTTTGCAGATAAAAACTGCAGGCTCTATTTGCCTGGCATGGCCGAGCTGTCCTGAGAAAAGACATGCTCAATGTGATGTCGACAAGCTCTGGGGAAAAGATTCGATGTAATCGGGGCAAAGGCATTGGCCGGCCAATCTTTGTCAGCGATACCCTGGCCACCTCAGAATTGGAGAATAAGAGAATTATATTAGAGAATCATAGTAAACCGGCGTAAATTAAAGAAATTCAAAGAAAGAGAATTCGTATGTCTTGAACAGTGCAGATATCAAATCCATGAACATTTTCCCTTAGGGACTGACGTCGATCCGCTGGACTGTAATTTGGCCCATTTCGGCTGCCGTACTCTCCGCGTTTCTCGCCGCGTCTCTCGGCGCGTCTCCTCCGAGCCCACCTTTTTTCTTCCTCACGAAGCTCGATGTACAGCCAATATGAGCGAGGATGTAGAGCAACCCCCAGCAAAGAGACAGCGTTTCTTCGCTGACTCTCCATCCTCACCGTTACCCACCAAACCCCAAGATACAGACGCGTCCCTACCTCATTGCCCGAAACACGAGATTCCGTCAATCGAACGCATTCCAAAAAGCCCTTTTAGTTTGCAAAACGAAACAGATCAGCACCATACACAAGTCCGATCGACGGAAAGCCTAGGGTCACCCATTGCGGATGCTGGGCCTACTCCCTCTCCACACCATAATGGATTAGACCAACAATGCGAGGAAGTAACGGTCAACACCACAAACACGATCACAGATGGCTTCGATGTCGACCTTTTCACTAGTATCGTAGGAGAGCAACTACCTGCCGATTCAATCAAAACTATTCAATCGGCTGCTTCCAATAACATCGAGCGAGCTGTTAACATATACTTTGATGGATCATGGAAGAAGCCTGTACGGATCAATGGCAGCGTTCCGGCCAGAAGCCGGAAACCCCATCTTTGTGTACAGCCTAGCCCTGGTACACCCGTTGGAAGTGAATCGGTACTGCCAAATCAGCCACCAGCAAGGTATATTGGCGCATTTGGTGTGGGAGGATGGGCAACGAGAAGTGGCTTCGGATTTCTCAAGCATGGAGACACTGTCCATATTGAACGCGCACGCTCGCAGCCAACTATGAAACGCAACCGAACAGGCAGAGCATTTGTCAATCACAAAAGCGATGTTTTGACTCGATTCACGAATACCTCGGGGCAAGAAATTGGAAGGCTGCCACATGAGACCGCTGAATGGGTTTCTACGCTGATTGATCAGAAGATCTGTCGGTTTGAGGGGGTCTGTGTGTTTGTACCCGACAAGGTGCGAGTCAACGATACCATATATCTACAACTCCGAGTCTACTTGCGAAAGGAAGCCTTTCAAAGCGCGGCGCTCAATGCTCTTAACACTGATGACAACCGATCCACTGGACTGTTTGAAGAGAAGGAGAGCACCGAGGAGAAGAATCTGCGACTACGCCAAGTCGGTCTAGTGAAGTTGTTTCAGGAAATCAATCTTCATCCTACCTCGACCAACCCGACTACGGAAAAGCACAAAAGAGATGGCATTTTGCGTGCCGCTGAAATTGCAGAACAATATGACAACGTGAAGAACAAATCAAATAAGGATGCCAACGACTCATCAGGCGGAGACGACAGCGAAGAACTGGAAGAAGGTCAGCTCGATACGTTGTATCAAAAAGCTCAATCTTTCGATTTCAACATGCCAGCGGCAGATCCAGCACCTAGCTTCACCCTTGATCTGCGCAAGTACCAGCAACAAGCCCTTCATTGGATGATATCAAAAGAGAAAGACTCGAAGCAGACTCGAGAGAAGTCAATGCATCCATTGTGGGAGGAATACATTTGGCCCAGGAAGGATGTTGACGACAAAGATTTACCGCAGGTTAAAAACATCGACCATTTCTATGTCAACCCATATTCGGGAGATCTCAGTGTTGACTTTCCTGCTCAAGAGCAACACTGCCGAGGGGGAATCCTGGCCGATGAAATGGGTCTGGGAAAAACCATTGAGATGCTCAGTCTGGTCCATTCTCACAAAGTTGAGCCTGATCCACAGGTTTCGAATGGTATTAGCTCGGTGAACGACCTTGCTATGATGCCAATCTCCTCTGGGGTGGTGCATGCACCGTACACCACTCTGGTAGTCGCACCAACATCCTTAATCTCTCAATGGGAAAGCGAGGCACTCAAAGCTGGGACGTTGAGAGTTCTTGTTTATTACGGGTCGGACAAGGCTGTCAATTTGAAATATTTATGCTGCGAATCCAATCATGAAACAGCTCCACAGGTGATTGTCACTAGTTATGGTGTGGTATTGTCGGAATTCCGCCAGCTCGGTCTCCAGTCGTCTGCTCCGGGCCTCCGTGCAAACGGGGGTCTATTCTCTGTGGAATTCTTCCGAGTAATTCTTGATGAGGCTCATGTGATCAAGAACCGTCGTTCCAAATCTGCTAAATCATGTTATGAGTTAAAAGCAGCTCACCGGTGGGCACTGACTGGCACACCCATTGTCAATCGCCTTGAGGATCTCTTCAGCCTGGTGCGTTTCCTCAAAGTGGAGCCATGGAGCAATTTCTCCTTCTGGAAGACGTTTATCACCGTGCCATTCGAATCCAAAGAATACGTGCGGGCCCTGAATGTCGTGCAAAGTGTACTGGAACCTCTTGTTCTTCGGCGAACTAAATCGATGAAAACTCCGGAGGGTGACCCACTGGTCCCTTTGCCCAAAAAGACAGTCACTATTGAAGAGGTGGAGTTATCTCAGCAAGAACGAGAAATTTACGACTGCATATTTACCCGAGCGAAACGAACATATAATGACAACGTCGTGGCTGGCACATTATTGAAGTCTTACAGCACAATCTTCGCTCAAATTCTCCGCCTTCGTCAGACCTGCTGCCACCCGATAATGACACGCAACAAAGCCATTGTTGCAGAAGAAGAGAGTGCGGCGGTAGTGGCTGATGCAACCAATGAGTTCAAAGATGACATGGATCTTCAAGAACTCATTGACCAATTCACGGCAGAGAACGAGAATGCCGACTCTCGAGAAACATCTAGAACGATGGTCAAGTTCACTGCCCATGCTCTTCGGCAGATTCAAACCGAGTCTAGTGGCGAGTGCCCTATCTGTTGTGAAGAGCCTATGATCGATCCAGCTGTAACAGCGTGCTGGCATAGTGCGTGTAAGAAATGCCTGGAAGACTTCTTGCAACACCAAATGAACAAGGGCGTCAAGGCACGATGCTTCAACTGCCGTGCCCCAGTGGATGCAAAGAATACCTTTGAAGTAGTACGACACCCGTCCTCAAATTCAGTTTCCTTCGGAGACGACACTGAGAGCAGCACGCCGCCAACCAGCTCCCAACCTGCCCCACGAATCTCCCTCCGTCGCATATACCCCCTATCTCCTTCCGCCCATACTTCAGCCAAGATCCACGCCCTTATTAATCATCTCGGACGCATCCCTCCAAATACCAAATCCGTTGTCTTCTCCCAATTCACATCTTTCTTGGATTTAATTGGCCCACAGCTCTCCAAAGTCGGAATCTCGCATCTCCGCCTCGATGGCTCGATGCCCCAAAAGGCCCGTGCCGCTGTTCTAGCCGAGTTTACCAAAGCAGAAAGCTTTACCGACGATGACATCGTCGACATGGAAGACGATACCCCAGGGAGAAGCGGGCCTGCAAAGTCTAGCTCTCCCTCATCCCCGACGCCAGCCCCTACAGTCCTACTCATCTCCCTGCGTGCCGGCGGCGTAGGGCTAAACCTGACCACCGCAAGCAATGTTTTCCTGATGGATCCATGGTGGAGTTTCGCAATTGAAGCACAAGCCATCGACCGCGTCCATCGAATGGGCCAAACACGCGATGTCAATGTGACGCGATTCGTGGTCAAGGATTCCATAGAAGGCCGCATGCTGCGCGTGCAAGAGCGTAAAATGAATATTGCTGGCTCGCTTGGGTTGAAGATTGGCGGCGATGATAGTGAATCTGACAAAGGGAAGAACAGACTTGAAGAGTTGAAAATGTTGTTCGAGTGATTGTTTCGATGGCCGAATGGTTGCTTGCTTCTGTTTACACTTGGGATACCCTGCTCCGGCGTGTGTGGATTTGAGATTGAGATTGGACTTTGGTGAAATGTAAATTACCATTTATTTCCAATTTATAGCCCTAGAAATCTCATTTTGTTTTTTTGCATCACATTTACAAAGAAGATTTTAAATGATTGAAATACAATTGGATATTAATACACCCGAACGAAATAAGGCGTGTCAAATAGACAAGCCGGCATAATATAGACATGACCTCAAAATTCCAAAAAGGCAAATCCGAAGTCAAAGTAACTGAGGCATCATCACAATCACAATTTCATAGATCCGATGTAAACAAAGACGCTGCTCTTATTTGCTCGAATGATGAAGATGCTTCTTGACGCTCTCCTTCACCTTTGAGAGCTTCCCATTCTTCTCGCCGTTTTCAGGAGAACGCTCAGGCTTCAAAGGCGACTTCCCGCTAGATTCACTTGGAGAATCTATAACAAAAGTCAGCACCAAATACGACAAAGCGAGAACAGGAAAAGGGAAACATACTGGTCTCAATATCCTCATCTTCAGCTGCAGGCTTCTTTCCCCTATACTCCTTCTCGAAGTCCTCAGCAGGCGTCGGCGCAGGACCCTGCGGGCCTTTGAGCGCCTCTTTGCTCACGTCATGGGTACGGCTTGTGTGGGGAGCTTCGCTGCTCTCGCCACCTTCAGCCTGTGAAGTGCTGCGCTGTTCTTGTTTAGAACTGTTGTCATCATTGCTCCCGGTGGATTCTGTTGAGTCGTTGGAGACAGGCTTCTTTTCCTTGCTTTCGCTGTCTGCTATAGATCCGCTGGAGATGGGCTTGGTTTCCTTGTCTTCGCTGTCTGCTGTAGGGCCGTCGGAGACAGGCAGAGCGGGTGTGATGCTGGTGCAGGCGGTGAGAGAGCTAGGGGCATGGGGGGTAGTGATGCTAGTGACCTCGGGCTTTGATTGATTGTTGTCCAGGTGGGCATTTAGGGGTGCGGTGTTGGCGTTTGAGTGGATTGCGCCGGGTTGCTCTGTGGATGGATTGTTAGATATATTGGACAGTTATGTGCTTTGAGGTTGTATAAACATATGCTTATAACTATTGTACTTACCATCGCGGTTGCCGCCATCATAGGGGTCGGTGATACGTCCTTGGCCTTGCACACCGGATGCGGGCTCTTCGCCGTGCTGTTGGGCATTATTGGAGTCATTCTCGCCCCAGATGGCAGTCGAAGCAGCGTTGACGTATTTGGTGACAGTCTCCATGATTGTATCGTGTTGGTATAGTTCAGATGTCGAATGGGTATAGATAGAGATTTGGTGAAAGGATGATAGGACAACAGATGAAGTATACTAAGTAAAGGAGGATGATAATAGCAGGGTGGGATAAAGCGTTGTTTGGTATACTCGAAATGTAAGTGGCGAGTGGGCTGAATGCTTAGAAGCTCTGGGCAGGTCAAGCTTTAAGAACCCACAGGCTGAGGCCGCGTTGTTCAATACGTCAGTGGTGTTGGGCCACGGTGGCTTGCACATGGACCCCCAGTCTTTCGTAAGACCCGATATAATTCCACTGATCGCTCAATGGCTTGCGAATGATCATCCAGTGATATAAACTGGACTGCTACATATGTAAGAAAGCGGCGATCCTCTGGGCGTATGTCATAGAGTGACGTCAAGCAATATATATCATGTGACCTCATACTACAGCAAGTAGCAACAAATAGATGCACAAGGTAGTAATAATAGAACTACAGTAATCTAGCCAGCTCATAGCCAATTGACCAGTGTATTAACAGGGTAAACATAAAACACAAATAGAATCCAAACAAAAGGATTCGATGTCTGAACGCTTAGCAAGGAAAATATCAAAACGTGAAGGAACAAAGAAAGAAGAACAAAGAATCTCCCTTGAAAGTAAAGCAACAGTAAATCTAATCATGAGGTATCGTAGGTGCAGAAGTGGAAGCTCCCTCCTTTGCATTTGCACTCAACGGTTTGGTCGGGTCATAATCGATGCTCTTAACAATTCCCAGTCCTTTCGTTTTGCCCTCACGAAAGAGGACACGGTCCCCGGGGGCTAAAAACTCCGGACGCTGTACGAATCTAAATGCGACTAACGCTCGATCTCCAGTACGAATGAAAGGGCGATCGATGTCGATGACTGAACATGTCTGACTGACTGCCCCGACATGAAGCATAGCCTGGTATTTAGGCTTGATGGTAGTTGCATGCGAAAGAATTAGGACTATTTTCATTAGCATGTGGTCAATAAAACCTGAATTGACGACTTACCCTCCGCGACGAATTCCCGATACACCTTTGGAGGGGCATCCATCTTTTTCAATACTACCATCCCCTTGCGCACTTCCTTCCGGCGGACGCGCTTCAGGGCGAAAGACCCAGACTGGCCAGCAAAGCAAGCATTCACCGGGATACGCTTACGCTCAATGGACTTGATGACTGTGGTGGTGAACTGGCCGAGTGAGTCTGGCCCCACTATGACCGAGTCTCCGGCATGAATGACACCAGATTTGACCACGCCCGCGACAACTGTACCCACGTGAGGAACAGAGAATGTGTCGTTGATCAGGAACTCGAAGGCCCCATCGGGGTCATATTGACCGCGGTGGGGCAGGATGTTTAGGAAGGTCCGTACTAAGTCGAGGTTCTCTCCTGTGACATTGGACACTTGGAAGATAGGACATATCCGCTGGCTGACAAATTGCGTGGCTGTATTAATGGTTTCCTCCATGTTCTTGACGAATATTGGAATCTTGTGTGCGCCAGGCGATTTTAGAATCTTGGTCAGCTGGGACAAGGTCTCCTGCAGGATATTTGGCGGGCAGATGTCAATCTTGGTGACAATGACCATGACAGGCACATTAAGGGCCAAAGCGATACCTAGGTGCTCCTTGCTCATTCCGATAAGACCGTTGTTGGCAGCGACCATCAGCAAGCAGTAGTTGGGACTGCTGCTCAACATACCGAAGACAGTGGTGCGCAGATACCGTTCGTGGCCTGCCAGGTCGGAGAATGAAATGACCTTAGCAGACCGCTTGCCGATCTCTTCCCAGGAGAGCTTCCGGCCTTGCGAATTGCTAACTATTTCACCTCGGCTGTCGAAGCCCATGATCTCCAACCCGACGGAGCTGGTACGCCCGCTTTCTATCTCGTGCTTGTGGCGGAATAGATTTATTCGCGCACGACCACGTCCATCGTCGAGACCACCTTTCACCAGCACTCCCAGCGTAGTGCTCTTTCCAGCATCGACATTCCCCACTACGGCAATCCGGAGCTCCGCCATTTCCTCGATGGTATCAGGGTGATGGCGCACGAGGACCTTGCCCCAAGCGCCATGTACTCGGCCATGCGTGACAGGTGATTCTTCAGGGCCTCCGACGTTGTAGGTCAGCAATACTCGGCAGTGGGCGGTGATGGTCTCGGCCGCCTCGCGCAGGCGCTGCAGCGCCGTCTTCCATTGATCGAGGTCGAAGCCCATGGATTCACCACCATCCTCCAACCCAAGATCGAAGATGGTCTCCCCATGGCCTTCATCAATGCGTGTTTGTAATGTCCCAGCTAGCACCTGCAGGCTGTCTTCAACGGCATCGCCTGTACCGAGTAGGAGCTCCTTCAGCTTGGCCGCGTGGGGGGCATCGGAGAGCCCTAGCTGATCAAGAATGTCGAGCTCTGCATGATCTTCTAGATCGCGCGACACACTGGCGGTGGAATATCTGCTGTCGCTGGGTGCGACTTGGCCGGAGCGGTGGGCTTGCTGTTTATCGGCATACTCGGCGAATTCACTGAGAGCCTAAGTTGAAGAGCATAAGATGAGGCACTTATCACATATTCCCTGGAGACACATACCACTTCACCTCGTTTTCGCTCCTCGTAGCTTAGTTTCCCGGTTGGAGGCATTGTGTGGAGTTGAGAAGTTCAACCGTTGACTGATCGCGGTGCCGCCTTTTGGGGTAGTGACGTTATTGGTCGGTGGATCGGGCCACCGTTACTGTTGATATGAAGTTGAAGTGTTATTCGAGTGATCATAGTTCTCTTTTGCTCAATGAACAAAAGATAAAAGAGACTGAAGTGAATATTTGAAGTATTCCGGTTGAGAGTACAAGGTACAAAGGGGCATGGGGGGAGCTTTATCGATAAGTCGGAGTCACCAGTTGAGTCATCGACCGCCCAGGCAGACTTCAGGGCTCACCAGTGACTCAATATAAATCTACTAGGAAGAATGTCGAAGCATATGGAATACTCAGCCTCCTCTAGCTTCCAAGGATATATATCCAACTATATCCAACGGGACTAGTATGGATGATCATAATCGATTTCCATGGTATCGTTACCTATCTATGTTGACTGCATTTTGTGGTATCTCGTGTCCTTCCCAGTATTGTTCCCGTCGCTGGACGCCGTGCTCTATATCAAGGGCATATCAAGCTCGTCATGCCTGGGGAGAGATCAAAACGACAGAGTCTCCTAGGTAGAAGTCAGCAACCCACCCAAGATATTCCATAATTGCTCCAACTCACCTCGCACGAAAAGCATCTCTTCTTGCTTCTTGATTGTCTGTATCCGATAACCTAGATTAGCCTATGCCCGCGTAAACTTCTCTGATTCATATGATCCCATACCCGCAAAGTCTCCTCCTCGTTCTCATCCTCTTCCACCACGTAGATTGTCTCCTCCACATCGCCAAGGACTAGGTTACAGTGACTGTCGTAGGCCTGTACACACGTACCATAGTCAGTAGTTATTCTGAAGATTGCAAGGTGGGGGTAGCTTACGTGAAGGCGGCCCTTGAGTTCACGGTCACCGCGCAGCTTCACGAACACGGTCTCATCGAGGGAGAGACGAACGAGATCCAGGGGCTCTGAGACGGATGGACCGCCGGTATCTTCGTTGTCGGCCATGATAGAAGGGTGATTGGATTTGGGTCAAGTGCCGGTCCACACGCAGAATCAACGAGCTTTGGCTGGTACCCAATGTGGCTTAGCGTGGCGCTTGGCAGAACGTGTGCTGAGTCAGCAATTACCCCGGGTTTTCTGTCTTGCAAGTATCCACACGCGATCTAGACAGCCCAGGGGTGATGTATAGAGGTGGATCAATGGAATTGGATGTCTGTACATGTGCGATATAGGTAGTTGACCACATAATAACCACATGTAATAATCATAGAATCATGTAATCTGACACAGTCTCGCCTAACCATTTGTACAGGGGTCTTGTACTTGTTGTGCTTAGTTTGAATCACAACTTGCATGAAGTACCCTGTCAAAAGATCCGGGGTCGAAGCGCACCTTCCCCTCATTCAAGCCCCTGGTCGTTTTGTGATTTTGTGCTCTTTGTTTTCTTTTTTTTGTTTTTTAAAGACTGATTCCTCGCTATCATTTCCCCATGCTAAAGTTCTCACTTACCGAGAAGTGCGCTTCTCGCTGGGGTGTCTCGTCTCGTCCTGGAGCCGGCATCAGAAAGCCCACACAATTTCCCCCATACCTTCATCTCAGTGGCCCGAGGCAAATTGCTTGTGTCGTGGCATCTCCAAATACGAAGACATGGGATGTTTTTGCGCAAAGAACACAACAAACTTGCTATCATAGTTCCATACGGCAATTGACTACAACAAGTCGACAACGGACCAGCGAACTCGCTGTTCCACGTCCTGCGACTTTCGAAAATGAAATACAAGTCCCTTTACCGGAATGGATCTCACCCGAAGAGGAGGCGCGGTACAGGGCGAACTTCTTCCGAGTTATTGAAAACGGACAACCAAACCAAGTGAGGGAAGCCATGGCTGATCCACGGTCGGTAGAGCTAGTGGGATCGCTGCCGCCAACCGTGTTTATCGAAGCCCTGCACCTCCTCTCTCCGGCTCATTTCGTGATACCCTACCGAGATCTCCACCATACACTGCACGGGTGGGGCGTGTTGATGCTAGGACTCAAGACATTGGAAGCGGTGTTCGATGACTTTACAAGGGACTTGCTCACGATCATCCAGTATCGAACCGTGGCTGGGTATCCACCTCAACTAGCCGAGTACACTCACCTCTTCGACTGTGCTCAGGCGATGGGAAATGGCCCCCTCGTCAATGCCCTTTGGGATGGGATGCATGCCAACAATGTCGCTCCCGACACAGCGTGCTATAATCACTATATGGCAGGATTGGTCTGGAACCATTGTTATGTGGGAAAAGAAGCATACAATACTCGCATCATCCCTCACAGCTACAAAAAGCGCCGCATGGTAGATCCGAATCC